TAGGGTCTATTGTGTGGCCGTTTGATGTTTAAATTTCTTTTGGTTGCTTTAGCTGTATGTTTTCGTATGTGAAAAGTATCTGTGTCATCTCGTAAATATAGTAATTTTGCATAATGAAAAGAGCAACTTAGAGATGACATTTATTGATGGATGTCTTGTTATTTACTCAATGCCCAAATAGCCTGGGTTTTAGGATTATTATATATAAAAAGGAGGCTGAACTCCAGCTTTAGATAAAAAGCTACTTTAAATCTGAATTCACTACTTTAAATCTGAAGATGTATCACAAGTTCCTGTTCAGTTAGGAACAGGAACTTGTGATGTAGAAGGAGCCAGATATAGAAAGAGCAGTTTCCTATATCTGGTATACTTTGATTGATTTATCATTGGGATATTTTTGCTCATGTTCTGTCAATATTTTTCTCTTCTAAGTTTCCTTCCCATCAGCTATCATTCAGTCTTATATCTCTGTAAGAAACACCTCTTCTGTTAATGTCTTCTTAATGCTAGTGGGTACGAAGTCGTCTTCTGACCTGCTTATTTAAGCTGAGACGCATTAAATAGGACACACTTTTTCCATCCTTCAAAATATAATTATTTCCCCTCTGTTGCCCATGGCATCTGTCCAGGTGGCGTCCCGCTGTGGGTCTCAGAGGGGTAAAATAATACCAGTCACCTACGATGCCAACTTGAATGGTACAGGGCATTTTGTGGCCACTGTGGCAGGACAGGTTCAAGCCTGTGGTTAAACCATGGTTTTTAACTATTCCAGAGCAAAATATGGTTTAAACTATTCCAGATGGCATTTCCATGTACTCTTTGTTTTGTGTGTGTGTGTACACATGCCCTCTGGAACACATGCCTATTATCATGTCTCCTTTTAGAGTTTCTGCTTCAAAAACATAATGCATAATCAGTTTGATTATGTGACAAGCTGCTTCATCCTTTCTCTTTTTTTCTCTCCTCCCAAGCGATTTTCTAGGTCATGCTTTCATTAGGTCTTCTTTTTAAAACAAGAAAAAAGTCAGAAAAAAAGAAGAAAATCAGAGAGATTTTCTGTGGAATGTCTTTCAGCCAGCAATTATAGCCATTGTTCGGAGAGCTAATTTTGATGATATTTCTAAATAATTAAGTTTATTTTTTCTTTGGAAAATCAGAAATCCATTTAGGCACTGGGAATGTAAGCCATTCATAGAATGCTTAAAATAACAGCCTTCAAGAAAAATGGAAATAGCTATAGTTAAGATTTGTTCCTTTCAACTACTTTCATTCACATCATTCAACTTTTAGTCTTCAGTGAGATGAATTAAAGGAGAAATTGTCTTTAAAAACTTGTTTTAAACACTTCAAGTCCATGTAAGTGGCAATACCTACTTTTTAGTCTTAAGAAATGCATTTGAAAAGGATGCTTAAGGCTTTCATTATGCTCAAGATACACTGGAAATCTTTTATTGAAAACTGGACCCACAATTCCCAAACCAATTGGTGGCAGTCAAAAACCAGCCTGGCTCTGAATTTTAATGGATCCAGTCAGTAAGTTCGGGAATGGCACTTGTCCTTGGTTGTCCCTTCTGGCACTGAATCTTGTAGGTACATGCTCAAGGGAAAGAAATCCCAGCAAAGCCATGTTAGTATTCCTCGGAGACAGAAATACCTTCTGAATCAGATCCCACAGGTGGGAAAAACGAGGAGGCTGGATTTGTACTTGAGAAAGTCAAAGACAATGGAGTGGTTCCTAGCTGTTGTATGGGGTATCCCTGTGAAGCTGGAAAATAATATAAACTCATCTTTATGGCTTTGGTCACTAGTGTTTATTATTTACTTTCACAGTACTCCAGCTCTGATCCCCAAGATGAAACCCTGGCCCTGCAGAAACAGCCCTAAGTGTTCCAGTACTAGAACCCCATTACCAAGTTTTGAACACTTGCAACCTCAGCTGGAGGCAGTGGGTGCTGTGGGTGATTAGCACCTCTCTTGAATGCTATCCTGCACCTTCCACATTAGGCACTTTATCACAGAAGAACTATGGTGCTTCTGTTATGAATTCTGTCCAGGAAGAAACTGTCACCTAGAAAATGAATATAATAATAGTCCTCTGCCTAACAGTGATATTATGAGACATTCAGTCCCTGTGGCAGTAGAAGTCACATGCACAATAAAAGAAGGCTATTAGGAAAAATATATTTCTGTGCTAAGTATACTACACAGCAAATGACGCCGAGGGCCACAATATAACTAATACATAGAAATTGAAATAGTCAATAGATGCTTCCTATACCAGGCACTGTTCATCCAGGTTGCTACTGGAGGCAAGCAATGTACAGTAAAAATAGCAGTCAGTACCTGAATATGAGGTAACTTCACTAATGATTACTTCATAAGGCATGTATACAGTGAAGACACATAAAGTTAGGCTAAGTTCAACAACCTGCAAGAACAAGGCCCCCAACCTTTGTGTACTTGGCTTTGGTAGTTTAACAGCATTTAAACATTCTTCTAGAAGATTAAACTGCATATAATTAAACTTTAAACCTTTAAACCTTTTTATAGTATCAAGCAGAATGACTCATGTCTATCAATCTATATTCCTTTATACCAACATGACCCCACGCAATAAAGGAAAGCAAAAAACTTTGATTTAATCTATCAAAGATCAGATTTCTTCTCAACATGCATTCAATTAACAATACATGCAATATATATCCAACACTGTATTTTACTCATAAAACAAGAAAAGGAAGATGAGGCTAAATATGTTGTGTAAGTTTCAAAACTTGTAGGGAATGAAAACATATTTGCAACATTATTACATTTTCATGTAATTGCATAGATGCAATTAGATAAATATATTAAATACTATATACCAATTTTTTTTTAACTAGTGCTGTATTTTCTCAGTCTCTAAAAGCTTGAAGGCATAACTGAATTGGGTAGAGAGCATATGAAGATTACTAAGCCATCTCTGCCTGGAAAACCTGACTTGTAGACATGAGTTTACCATCAAAATGGCTACTTTACTACTGCAACATGGGGCCACAGTGCACTCACACCCTCAGGCATGATGTGCACCTCTAAACCTCTCTGACACAAACATTATCCAGGGCCATGCCGTTTACAGGACAGCAGCAGCAGCAGGTTGTCTGTCAGATGAATAAACTTTTCATGTCTCAGAGGAATCCCCCCCCCAAATCCACCTTGGAAAAGCCTAGACTTCTACCCACAATCACAGTCAGAGCCAGCTGCGTTCCCACAGCAACAAACACAACTCCTATAACATGGCCCAGCTTTTTGGCAGTGCCCGACCTCCTTCTGCCGGAGCCCCGACTGCAGCCCTGGCAAGGCATGCTGAGAAGGGTATTGCTGCGCAGCCATCCACGGCAGCTCGGGACAGCACTCCTCAGTTAAAGCACGCTTTGATGACTGGATCCCTGCATTTTTTTCCAAGGAGTCATTTGTTCCCTTAGCAGCTAACGTTTCTGGCTGTATCTTGCATGCGATCCGGCACAGCTTCTTTCCTCTCGTCCCCACTGGAAAAAGCTGTGCCCGGCTGCGACATTTTTGTGTCAGCTTACAGGGTTACCCACATGCAAGGCACAACGTGGGATAAAGGCCAGGCATTTAGGGTCCAAAGCGTTACCTCTGCTATGCACAGTGCTTCCCTGGGTGACCACTTGCTTTCTGCTGTTTCTCTTTCTGCTCCTCCTCACCCCACCCCATTCTCTGCACAGCCACGAAGAACTGTCTTCTCCCTCCACCCCAGGCTTCCCAGCTTTTCAGTTTAGCTTTGATTATTCCAGGATATCCTAGCTGTGATCTGTAGGCAGAGTAGTCTGTTTATATGTCAGCCCAGCCTCAGCTCCAGGGCCTTCTGCATGTGTGCGGAGGAGTGTTTGGAGGCAGAGTGGATGTCGTGAAGGTCCTGCTGAGACTCCCACATAGCCTGTGGGATAACAGGTTGTAGCCACTGAGAACTGGCAAAGTCTTTGAGCCAAACAGCCAGAACAACTCACAGCACGTCCAGATACCATAATACCCTCTAATGATCCCTCTTTAGTGTTCAAGTAAAAAACCTGAACACTACTGCAGTATTTATCTTTCTTAGGTTTAATTTCTTGGGCAAAGAGGGCGACAAATACATCAAGAAACAATAATAATTTAGAGAAGTAACAGATGTAATTCTCTAATCTGCTATAACCTCATCTTTTTTCTTGAAAAACAGAAGTACTCATATTCAGAGCACCCCACCGGGACCCTGGCCATTGCTCAGTTGCAAATTCTGATGCTTTGTATGACAGTAATTGTAGGACATCATAATACACTGTAATATAAATACACCCTGAGCGCAGTGACTTAAGAATGATTATCAGGGGGAGGCATTACAGTTGATGGAAACAGATCAGCAATAGGCAATTAACAGCATGATCTGATAGTTCTTTCCTAGCACGTGTAGGGTCCACTTCTGCACACACACACACAAAAAAACAAACCAAAAAACCCCACCCCCAAAACAAAAAACAACCCTAAACCAAACAGAAGACCTGACATAAAAGTTTTAAACTTTTTAATCTTTTTGAGTATTTGACAGAAAGTGCAATGGAGATTAAAACTCTCCCCCTAAAGAAAAAAACAAAACAAAAACCCCACCCGAAACAAACAAAGTAACACGAAGCAAACCAAATCAAACACCCGTTCCTCTCCCCCAACAAACTAATTGCGGTTTCACTGATTTTTAATGTCCGTTTTAAGCTCCTCCGCCGGCAGACGGGTGCTGCTCCGGCGAGGCCCGGCCCGCGGGACTCCCTCGCACTAATCCCAGCGCTGGAAGCCTAGCGCCTGGCTCTCCCTGCAGCCTTCCAGACTCCTCCTATGGACCCTCCCTCACCCCGTGCCTACGAAACCGTGGCAGCCCGGCCGCTCCGGCCCTGGCTGGGCCCCTGCCGCCTGAGGCACCGCCTCCCGGGACGCCGCCATGGCGGGGGTCGTTGCTACGGGAGCTACGTGAGGTCACGCATGCGGCGAGGAGGAAGATGGCGGCGCCCGTGGAAGTCTGTCACGTTGCGTGCTGCGCCAGTCGGGCAGGCGGCGGGGCCGTGGCCTGGGGGCGAGGGGGGCTCCTCGCCTTCGGCAGCTGCCGCGACGTCATCCTCTACGAGCCGGTGGTGAGCTGATGCGGCCTGGGGCGGGACGGACCGGGCTTGGGTTTGGGTTTGGGTTTGGGTTTGGGTTTGGGCTTGGGCTTGGGCCTGGCTGCGCAGCCTCATGTTGGTGCTTTCTGTCTGTCCCGCAGATGAGGCGGGTGGCCGCCGCCCTCCGCGGGCACGGCGGCAGGGTGAACTGCGTGCGCTGGGTCCGCCGGCGGGACGGCGGTGAGTAGCGCTGCCTTTTTAGCGCGCCTCTTTGTCCCCTTCGGTTCGGGTCGCCGGTTTCGGGGAGAAGGGGGCGGTGTGTGTGCCGCGGAGGGGGGCGGTTGCCCTCGGTGCTGCGGCCGCTGCTACCCTGCCCCTCGCTGGGGAGGAGAGGCAGGGAGTCCGGCAGTAGGTGTAAGCTGAAGGAAGTATGGAGCTGACCCGTTAGCAAGCATCTTCTCACCTTAAGCCCAGTTTCCCTGTAAGGAATCTTAACAGGTGGCACCGCAGGAACCTTGCCGCCAAACTCGTGAGCTGCCCGGCAAGAGCGGGGTTTCTTCGGGATGTCTTTTTTTGGGTTCCTCAGCCCTCGCCAGTCCTGGAGGCTGTTTTGCCTGGGGCTGCGGTGGCTCTGACAGATGGAAGGCCTCTGCTGTCGCCGGGCCCTTCAGGAAGGGTCTGGAATTTTGCACGTTTTGACTTTGTAAAGTAATTTGCAGTGATTTTTAAGGAATCTCCGACTGTAAAGCTTTCAGCTGCATGTAGGTAATATCCGTGAAAAAATAATCACAGGGTTGGAAGGGACCTCTGGAAATCATGTAGCCTAACGCCCTTGCCAAGGCAGGGCCATCTGGAGCAGGTTACACTGGAGTCTGTCCAGGTGGGTTTTGAAAAGGGGGAGTCCACAACCTCCCTGGGCAGCCTGTTCCAGTGCTCTGCCACCCTCAGTGTGAAGGGGTTCTTTCTCATGTTGAGGTGAAACTTCTTGTGTTTTCGCTTACAGCTGTTGCTCCTCGTCCTGTCACTGGACACCACTGAAGAGTGTCTGGTACCATCCTTCTGGCATCTGCCTTTGAGCTATTTATGTACATTCTTTCAAGCTGGGAATGTTTGAGACCCTTATGAGGCTTTTCCTTTATCGTAATTCCAGGTTTTAAACTTGCTTAATGCAGGCTTTTCAAAAGTATATATTCATGGCCTTTGGTATTTATAGAAACTCACAAAGAAAACTGGAGCTGTTGATTAGACTGTTAATGTAATATGCCTGTTGGTTTGGGGGGGGGGGGGGGGAAGTACTTAAATGAAAAGATTCCTTTTTTAATAGTGATATAAACTTCCATCCTTTCAGCTGGTTGCATGAAAATATTTTTCTTCTTAAAATTTAGTGAAAGAAATTATTTTCAGGGAACTCAGGAGTTGGAATTTTTACATGAACCTTTTAATTCTTTTTGGTTAGACTTCTCTTGCTTTATTTTCCTAACTTCCAAAAAGACCAAACAAAAAGAGAAAATATTACACTGTTGTGTTTGAGAAATGACTTTTCTCTTTATGTTGTCTTAGTGAATACTTTTGCTCTTAAGCTGTCGTGCATTGTGCAACTCGGCCATACTTTAGTTTGATGGAAATTTACAGTTTGATAGATGCTTATAGTTGATAGATTATATTTTTGTGAGTAGTAACTGATGTAACTGCTTATGCTGTTGACTGCTGTTAAAAAGTATGTGTTTACAAAACTTGCCAAAACATATTTTTCAGCTTCTGAAACAGAGTTAATTTCTGGTGGCTCTGATAAACAACTCATTCTTTGGGAATGGAAGGGAACAGGAGCATGGAATGATCAGGTGAGCAGCAGTACCCTTTTTTTTTTAAAACTCCCCCTGCTGTACTTTCTCATGTATCACAAAATACCTGTTTTGTCTGTATTTCTTATTCATATCTCTTCATTTTACCTTGACTTTTGAACCCCTGTGTGTCTACATCAGATTTGATATTCTGTCGTGCAGTGTGTTACTTGAAATGTCTCTTCTATCATTTATCTTTTTCAAATCAGCCTTCATTAAGAAATTGGCTAACCAGTTGTCAGGTGGAATTGTCTAGCATGCCTAAAAGACCCTGTCTGTCTGTTCTTGAGTCATCAGTTTTCTGATCTCATGTAGCACTTTCCTTTAAGCTGCCTTAAAATCTGCAAACCATGAGGTTCATTTTGAGTTGATATTTCCTGTACCCTTCGTCCTCCCTTCTTTATGTCCATTTCTAGTGATTTCTGGTCAGTCTGTGCAACAATGTAGTGTTTGTATATAGGTGGCCTTAGCAGGATGTTATCCAGGTTGGGGTAGGTGTTTTAAAAAAAAAAAATTTTGGTTTTTATGTCAATATTCTGAAGGAGTAAAAGGCTGCTTTGATTTGTGAGAACACACAAATTGCTGCTAGAGCTGCTGTAGCTGCTACTTTTTCCATTGTGTTCTCTGCTCTGTGTCCTTCACTGTGGACAGCCTCCAGACTTTTACGAGATGTTCCTTAGGGTGAGGGGCAAGAGAAGGAGAAAAAGAAAGGAAAACTACTCTTCCTAACTTCTGTCCTATTTCCAGCTTTCCTCAAGGAGTGGTGAGTTTTATATAGTGTATGCAGGAATGCTTAATTCTGTTCAGCTTTGAACAAAATGTTATCATGTTAATAGTCATTATTATGTATCCCTTCTTTCTTTTTTCCTGGAGTATGCTGTAGCTTAAGCATAGGTTGGCAGATGCTGTGCCTTTGCAGCTAGCTGTGTGATTTGTTTTCAGTGTTAAAATATTTCTTAAAATGTCTTTAAAAATTGTCTCAGATAAATTACTGGAATTTAAAGCTTTCTGATGTGTTCAGCTTGTGAAAAGCGTTCCTCTCAAAGGCCATGCTGAAGCTATTTGTGCTGTGGATGCTGTCTACCAGTCAGATGAACCTGATTTAAATCTGCTAATAGCTTCTGCAGCTTCTGACTCTACTGTGAGAATCTGGTCTCGGCAAGGTTCAGAAGGTAACTATCCTAAAAAGTTTAGGAACAACAAACTGGGTTAATAAAAATGACACGTGTTTATCCACTGAAATACTCTGCTAAATACTGATGTCTTTTAATGCAACTACATTGATTTCTCCTGCAGCTTTGGTACATCAAACCACTGTATTGCTTTTTGAAAGCTAAGGGTTATGCTAGTTAAACAACTTTGGGTCTGTGTTGTTCTGCAAAATGATTTTTTTGCAGAACGTCATTTTGGCCTGTAATGTGGGGGCAGATAATCTATATGTATGTATGTGTGTGTGTGAAGAAAAATAATTAATGCTGGCATTAAAAAAGTGAGGTTAAAATGGTCACTTCTTTGTTACTATTGATTTGAGTCCTATGAAGTTTGGGATAGTAGAATATTGACCTGGTAAACTAGGCCCTTGCATGAAAATATGGGAGAACAGATCTTTGAAATATGTAAGAAATAAATAGGGTGGCTAATCTAGATTTAAAGTGTTGCTTTTAAGTTGAATTGTACTGACTGCCCTCTCAAGCTACTTGCTTTTATTTGGTGTACTTGAGGATTTTGCGTTATGCTGCCTTTATGAGTAAAATAGGTGGGAGTTACTGATCTTCAGTCCCACGTTCTGGAAGGCATTTCTCCTGCTCCCAAAGAACACCATGATGTCCTGTCCTATCCTTTTGCTATTGTTAGAGGTTTTTTTCTGCTATACTGTTGATTACTCTGATTATGGGTGACCATTCATAGAATCAGAGAATCAACTAGGTTGGAAAACGCCTTCAGGATCATCAAGTCCAACCATTTGAGCCACTTGTAGGATCTCAGGGGTGTTAGCAAGTTTTTGCTCTTCTCTCTATCTGCTCAGTTCATGGAATGAGTTTTAGCTTTCTGTGTAGTGAATGCTGTTGCCACAGGATATTATTTGCAATATTTATCACTTCTGATATGTTACCACAGTGAAGCTGTACAGCTTTAATACTCAGTGGAGAATAGTGATTTAACTTTTAACTGGATGAGTTTCCGTGGCTCCACAGAGGATAGTGTTATTTAGGCTTCTGAAAAAAAGTGAAAGTTTTTCAGCTTTTTAAAATTGAATGAGAAATTTTAGCTACATAATGAAGTAGGAAATGAGAGTATAACTGTAATACTGATGAATGAGGTCAGCGCTGTCTGTGCTTGTTTCCTAGCTAAATGCATTGAAATTCTGCAGTTTGGAAATGGATTTGTTATGGATGTCTGCTTATCTTTCTTGCCTGGCAGCAATGGTAAGTACGGCTGCACGTCTTGAATATCAATGCAGGATATGTAAAATCTAAGAAATCCCCCCAACAGATTTTAATTTGACTGACTTCATACCCCTGTGCTGTATTATTTATTTTTTTTTTTTTTCTACAGAATCAGCCTAAGCTGCTGCTTGTATCTAAAGATTTTCACTGGTGTCTTGTATCTAAGGATTTTCTTCTTAGGAGTTTGAAAAATAATGTCTGATTACAGTGCCTTCAAAATGCTACTGAAGTGGAGTTCTTTACTTGAACTCTTGAGACAGGGAGCTTAAAAAGAGGGTAGCAGGGCTATAAGTGATTGGGGTAGGATGATGCTGTTTGTTTCACCCACTCCTTGTGGTGCTGCTGCATATACATGTTCTTGTTTGGATTGAAGGGCAAGATCTGGAAAAAGAATCTACAGGCCTGCATTAGAAATTGCAGATGAATGAGCAGTATTTATCACCTGTTCAGTCTTAAAAACTTGAAATGCTGGCCAAGTTTAACCTGACTGTTCAGTATGATTTGTGTAGTTTTATATTGATACAAATGTTCAGATTCTGTAGACTGCCACAGGCACATTCTTCTGTTGCAAGTATGTAGAAGATTTAAAAAAAAACCACCCAAAATCAAAAAAACCTCAGACAACTAAATGTATCATCAAGCCAGATGTATGTGTTGAATAATGTTTGTGTTTAAGTATCATTAGAGCCTTTTGGAGTTTCTTACTGTATCTGGAGTTTTCAACTATTTGCTGCATGTGTTCCACACTGATGTGGTGTTTGACTGCATGCCTCTGGAGCAGTTATATAGGAGCTTATTTTATTCTTTGGCTTGTGATAATTCTGGGAGATATGAAAGCGCTATCAAGGTGCGCTGTCCCATCTGAAAATGCTAATGTCTGATATCAAAAGCAGCATCTGCATAGCTAAAGAACTTTAAACATCTTTTTCCTATAAATATGCTAACAGGTGCTTGTTGAGCCGAAATAAAAAGGCTAGGGGGTAAATAAAAATCGTTACCTCCATTGTGAACTTTTGTTAGAAATGAAGTGTCTGTGGTGCCAGTTTAATGCGTATAAAATTCATATTGCAGAGCAATAGATTATTTCTTCATTTATGATACTGTGCAGGTAAGAGATTCTCACTGTAATGCTTTAGGGTCGTGTTTCTTTTTAGTGTTGAAGTCATGATGTATATAAAAGAAGTGAACATTTATTTTGGAAACATCTTAAATGAAGACTATCATATTCTTTAAATGCTTCTGAAACCAAAATTGCATGGAGTGCTTGAAGCTTCTTTAAATGGTGTCATAGCAAGCATTTTATTCTGCTGGGGTGGTCACCGAAGCCCAGTGTTGCTTGAAGTTGCATTCAGAGCAGGACAGTCCTTTATTATGGCCTCTTCCTATCTCAGTTCAGATTAATTATCCAAAACAATACAGTGCTCAACCTGAAAAAGAGTACTTTATTTTTCTGAAGAACTGAATTTATTTTCAAATGAGAAATTATTTGTGAAGGTCTCATATGGAATTAAAAACAACCTATACATTTATGTTCTTAATGCCAGTTCCAATATGATTTGTGCTGCTAAAGCTGTAAAGAAACAGTTTAGATTTTGAACCATAAATGTATGGTTAGAGATGTTTCCCCTCAGAAATAGATTTATAAATTTCCTAAAGGGTCTTTTAATATAGCAGACCCATGTTCTGTGTTTTCTCCTTAAACCTGGCAAAGTAGCCCATACAACTGATTTTTTTTTTTTTTATTCAGAGTATGATATTAATTCCAAAATCTAAATAAAGTAGTTTAAATATATTATTAAAAATCTCACTGCTGATTGTTTTGTCAGAAACTTTAATCTGTAATATCAGTTTGGAATTTAATGAGCTTCAGGGAAAAATGGTCTATGATAACTTCAGGAGTTGTTCTGAAATCCTTATGAAGGCTATTTGGCAGCTGTATTAAGATTTAAAGAAGCTTTTCTCTTGAGGACAGTCTGAAGTTCTTGAGTCAGGAATTAAATACAGATTTGGTTTTCTGAAAGTCGTAAACTACTCTCCTGAACTAGAAGCATTTGCAATTTTACCAATCAAAGGAATTTAAAGCTTTCACTGAAAATTGATTCATACGTAATGGATGCTTTAACTTCCAAAAGACACTGAAGTTCATGATGCCTAGTATTTTAACTGATTGTCCTTGAAAAGAAATTATAAAAAAAAGTTAGGAGCCATTTTTGTGAAGAAGTCAGATGGGGAAGGCCAATAGACTGTTCGTAAAAACTTGAAAAATCACTTGCTGCTGGAGTCACAGCTTAAGGACTTTGCTGGCAGCCTTTTAGTTAAAGAGTTTCCTTACAGCTATTTTCTAAGTCTCGAGGAGGTGCTTAATCCTGTTTTGTTTGGTTGGTTGCTTTTTGTCTAGCAATGTCTGCAGAAACTCTGCTGCTAAAATGCTGGGAATAGGATTTACTGTTTCACTGATCTTGATCATCTGTTTTATCGTGTACTGTGATTCTTCCTACCACTTGGATAATTGTGTTGCCGTAGCTTGGACTCTGACAAGTAATTGTTTCCTCAGAACTGAATTACAACAGGTGAAAATAAAAAAGGAGCAAGTGAATTTGAAGAGCTTTGCCAGTCACTGCCCCCCATTTTCAATTGGACTACAGTTTCCAACTTGGCTGCTGAGATCAATAAAATACACATAATTAACTAAAATCTAGTATTTGAACTTCCCACAGATATGGGAGTTTGAAGGAAAATACTCTTTAGCATCTTAAGTATTTGTAGTTATTATTTACATGCCAAAATAACTTCAGAGTTTTGTGCTGTTGTACTAGTTTATTTCAAATAGTATTTGGTCTCTAAGAAAACTTAAAAAAAATGGTATTGTGCTTGCTTGTCTGTATTAATGTATTTATTGATACTGTATTGTCTACATATTTATGTATATCCTACAATATTGGATTTTGTCACTTGGGTAATGGAAGGCTTTTTTTCCTTTCCAGTACCAGTACTGGCTTGTGGTGGTGATGACTGCAAAATAAGTTTGTTTATACAGCAGAATGATCAGGTAATCAGTTTTTGTCTCTTGTTCAGAACAGTGCTCATATCTTCTGCTTCTTTTCATTTGTGCTGCATTTTTTTTTTTTGGGGGGGGGGGTGTCTTCATTAGCTTCTGCATCTCTGGATAGCCATAACATGCAACTACCTAATTCATTCATTCCCTAGGAATGATGAAATGGAAGTACAGAATGTTGAAGTTGGATTCAGTGCGTATAAGTGTTAGTTTTTCTTATTTTTTCCCTCTATGAAGATACTCTGTATTTCTGTTCCCACAGCTATGACTGTCCTTCTGAATTCAGTGTCCATGCATTAAATGGTTTCATATGGAAATGATGTTCCTTTCATTTTATAAACTCTTAAAAGAGAACTGTTGCAGTTTTTATTTGTGGAACTGTATGTTTGTTGCTAAGTATGCTCTTTGTGCTGAATGCTTTTGAATGCCAAAGGAAGTATTTGAAGGGGTATGTGATCTTCTAAAAGCATGCACATTTTTAATGTATTATTTGGAAGCTGGCAATCTTAAGTTTTTCATTCAGATAAATGTTCCTTTGGAGCACTAGGAAGATTCTGTCCTCTGTTGCATCTCTTTTGCATTTGCATTTGTTAGACTCTAAAGCATATGTTGAATGACTGTTTTCCAAAACAGAAGTCAGTGTCACTTCTTTCTATCACTCCCTTAAAAAAAAAAAACAAACAACCCAACTGAAGGTCAAGCTACAAACACTGACTCCAATTACCAATGAACCTACCGTTCAGAAGCCTCCATTGAAAATTACATATGTAGAAATCACAGACACTTCTGGATTCGTTTGGACACAGTGACCTCAGAGATTAAAGAATAAATAGTCCCTTTTGCTTTTTTTTGAGAGAGATAAAAGCTGCCTTATAGATGTTTTTGCCTGTTTGTACTGCCATATACAATAGCAAGATCTTGTTGTTGTTGTTTATTAAATAAATACTTCAGCCTTTATCTGCTATGTTCAGTGATTTCTTGACCACTGAAAGAAAGAAGGGTTGATTTCTTAGCTGCTTTTGTTTTGTTTCCTTTATATAGCTTATGAATTATGTCAGTAAGTCAGTTTAATGAGATTCTCTGGGAATTAGCAATGGCAGAATGCCACTTATGCTTCTTAGTATGCTGAAGAAAAGCTTTTATCTTAGGGCTGTGCAGTTGATTTTCCTCATTCAAGATCTGGAGCTTACTTTCTTGTATGGTTCAAATTAACAAATAATATCCAGTTTGAGTGCTAAAAATGTTTAGATATATGTAACTTATTTTGCCAGTTGTTGACCAAACTTTTGAATATAACAACATTCTTAGCTGTTCTTAAATAGAGTCAGTGGGGGATAAAGAAAAGTAACTGGAATAAACAAGCTCCATCATAAGTAATTTATGGTGCTGTCTATTTTTGGAGGTAGGAGACCTTGTTTGTACAAGGGGTGCGGAATTTTCTCTTACTTTACATGTGTTATTTTTCACACCTTCAGTTTTAGGAAGTATTTTCACCAGCTATCTTGGCAGAGCTGGCATTCAGAATCTCTTTTTTTTTTTTAAATGAGGTGGGACTTCTGGTTGATGTCTGTCTTAACTTTCTAGAGCATCTCTTTTAACTAAGTAGACTGTACAGATCTAAAAGAGAAGAGCCCAAATTTAATTCCATGTGGAGTAAAAGTGCCTGTGTAGTGTATTATGGCTGTTAACAGAATGAAAACATCTTTGCAAGCCTTCTAATACAAATTCCTTCCTAGCTGTTACAAGGAGGCTCTCTTTATAAGTTCTGCTGACACCTTTCTATAATGGCTTCTGTAGAACTTTTAAATATATTTGAAGGATGTTACTTTCATTCTGCTATTTTTTGCTAGAACTTGGCATAGAAGAGTGCTGAGTATGTGGAATCTAAGCTTCTGCATCATTCTGTTACTGGTAAGGCCTGTAGCTCTGCCCTGTTAGCTGTGACTCTTGGAAACCTCTTTTTTAGTTAACATCCTAAAAAAGATTATATGAACCCAAAGGCAGAATGTAAGTTAATAATGGGATATCCTAATGAAGCTTGGAGGGCACTGTTACAGTAATGAAGGTTGAGGCGTCTTCAGTTAGCTGATTCAGGCTGCTTTTTGGCAAACTCATTAATTTTTCAGCTAAAATATATTTATTCATAAAAACGACTTGGTTTTTGAAGTTGAGTGGGCAGCCTTCAAATCTTTTAAGACTTTCTACCTGTAGATCTCTTACTGTGTTAAACAGTAGAGAGAAAATGAACTCTTTGCTTTTCCGAGTTCTTGAAAGAAGGTATTGATTTATAAAAATACCTAGGGAACAATATTTCAGAAACCATTATGTCTCTTCCTGCTTGAGATATTACAAGCCTATGGAGAGGAGGTAAGTAAACCAGAGAATCAAAATAGAGCTTTAAGACAAAACAGTTCTGTGTTGAGCTTAGTTTCTGAGAGAAGATATTGCAGTGCACGTTTGACTGTGTTTCCCCCAAATAATTAGGCCTAATTGAAAAGTGTAATAAGGGACTCAAAGATAATTCAGGCTCTTTCTAGTTCTATTGCATTAAGAGCTGGGAAGAGGAGGGGTATCACTTCTAGGGTCCAATGAAGAAAAGATGAGAAGTCTTGGACCTCTGCCAAATTTGCCAAGCAATAACCAGCCTGGTCCTGAAGGACATGAACCCAAAGTGTGGGCAGTTAGTTGTGCAGACTGTGCTGGGCATGTTCACAAACAGTCTGGCTTCATTAGTTCTGCTACCTACAGAACAGCTTTAGTTATCTAAAACAGAAGGAACTGGAATGCTCAGAAACTAATTAAGAAGTGTGGGAAAGCCTGCAAAGTAGGTGAGTCAGACCATGAGCTTTCGTTAGATTGAACTGTTGGTACTGTAACTTCATATGTATCCAGTGAGGACCAAGGGGAAAACTGAAATGGAGAAGGAGAAATATGAGACTATAGAAACAAAACCTTTGGGAAGAATGACAGATCAAAATATGTGTATTTACAACCTAGGCAATAATAAAAAAATTGATTGAATAATTTACAAATAATGACCATGTGCATCTGCAAGAAGCTTTAAATTGATGCAGTTTTAGAACAGAATACACCTGAACAATGTGTGATACCAAGGGACACAGACTTCAAAGAAAATGCCAAAAACAGTACAAAAAAACCTAAGCAGAAGGCATGACGGCAGCATTACTCCTTCCTCGGTTTCAGTGGACAGTTTTTATTTTTATGGGAAACAAGATAGTGAAAATTTTGAGTGAGTGCTTGTTCTGTAGCACAGAAGAACTGCATGCATGACTTAACATTAAGCAGTGACTAAATGCCTGTTTGGGAAGTGACTTAAAAACCTGAGGTGATATAAATAACCCCAGAGTAAGCAGAGTACTCTTTAAAAAGAGAAAGTAAATGTCTGCTTTTCTTAATAGTTCTCTTTGATATGAGATAAAGGTAATGTAAAAAAAACCTCAACACCTTGAAAACAGGAAAATTATTAGATGTGTGTTTAGATTAATATTAAAGTCAAGTTTCAGGAGATATGCGCACTGTTTAACATAAAAGTAACCATAAAAGACAAGAATGTTAGCAGTTCAGCTAGAACCAGTCCTTCAGTTGGGACTAAATTTGCTGCCTAGCACTGGTCAATGTAAAATACAGAGCATTGTGTCAAAGATCATATAAGTGAATGAATAAATAGGTGTTTTATTTATTATCTGAAATACATATTGCTAAAAAGTTTTGTGTTTTTTTTCTTTTATTTTTTTTTAAATTTTTTTAATGTACTGCTGGAAACATGCAGTCTTCAGAAAAACCTTTAGGTTGCTGCTTGATCTCTCATCCTGGGCTGATTCTGCCTTTATTTACAGATAACCAGTTGGGTGTTTAACATGAACATCTATCTGGAATGCCACATCCAGAAGTGCCAGTGAGTGCAGAAATGACTAGCCAGATGAGGCTTAGGTGGCTGTGAGAATACGTTCTTAAGACCAAAACTGTGCGATTTGGAAGTTTCTGTTAAGCTGTTCTGGTCATGTGTCTCATACACAGATCATGCTATAACATTAAGACTACAAATGCAGAACAAGGAGAATCTAAATGTTGTTGTTTGATGGGAAGGTTGTTTTAGAGAACAGCAGGAATGTTGGACCAAAGAGAGGCAGTAATTTCTGAGTATGTATTTTTCATACTCATACAAATTAGGTGAGTCACTGTTGCTCTGTTGCTCACCATCTCCTCTCTAAAGGCAAAGACAGATTTTGAGAGGGCTTTTTTTTTTTTTTTTTTTAATGTTGCAGGCTCTCCGATAGCAGAGTCTACCATTTAATCTTAACCCTTAGTAGGCCTAGGTAAGGGTTTTAGCAGAATACAGTGCCACAAGTAATGTGATAGTTGTTCATACTAAACTACACTAATGTCTTAAACAGGGGAAGTTTAGATTGGATATAAGGAGGAAATTCTTTCCTGTTAGGGTGGTGAGGCACTGGAATAGGTTGCCCATGGAGGTTGTGAATGCTCCATCCCTGGCAGTGTTCAAGACCAGGTTGGACGAAGCCTTGAGTGATACGGTTTAGTGTGAGGTGTCCCTGCCCATGGCAGGGGGGTAGGAACTTGATGATCTTAAGGTCCTTTCCAACCCTAACTATTGTATGATTCTATGATTTCAGACATTTTAAGTTAATTTGGGATCAAAAATGTCATGGAAATAGGGCTTTTTCTGGGAAAGAAAAACAAATGGTATGTGTATCACAGAAACATGGTGGGATGGCTTCTGTGACTGGAGTGTTAGAATGGAAGGTTACAGGCTCTTTAGAAAAGACAGGCCTGGCAGGCAGGGAGGGGGTGTTGCCCTTTATGTTAGGGATAGGCTGGAGAGTATGGAACTCTGTCTGGGGACAGGTGATCAGTTAACAGAGGGTCTGTGAGTCAGGGTTAAAGGAAGAACAGCGATGGGAGACATTACTGTGGGATCTGTTACAGACTGCCTGACCAAGAAGAATCTGTGGTTGAAGCCCTCCACAGACAGATAGGAACAGCCTCACACTCGCAGGCCCTTGTTCTCATGGGGAACTTCAGCCATCCTGAGGGAGGGATGGTACAGCCTGGCACAAGCAATCCAGGAGGTTTCTTGATTGTGTGGAAAACAAATTCCTTCTGCAAGTAATAGAGAAGCTGACAAGGAGAGGTGCCGTGCTTGACCTTGTGCTCACCAACAGGGAAGGGCTGGTTGGAAATGTGCCTCTCCAGGGCAGCCTTGGTTGTAGCGATAATGAGATGGTCAAATTTGGGATCCTTAGGACAATGAGAAGAGCATGTAGCAAGCTCACTGCAAGCTCACTTCAACAGAGCAGACTTTGGCCTCTTCAGGAACCTGCGTAGTAAGAAGGTTCCATGGGATATATCCCTAGAGGGCAGAGGGGACTAGACTGTTGGTTGATATTCAAGGATCACCTGCTACAAGCTCAGGAATGTTGCATCCCAACTAGAAGGAAGTGCAGCAGGAGAGCCAGGAGACCTCCTTGGATGGATAAGGAGCTGCCGAGGAAACTCTGAGGGGAAAAAACAGGCTTATGAAAGGTGGAAGCAAGGACAGGCGGCCTGGGAAGAGTACAGGGATTTTGTCCGGGAAGCTAGGGACCAGGTTAGGAAAGCTAAGGCCTAGTTAGAATTAAAATCAGCTAGGGATGTGAAAGATAACAGGAAAGATAACAGAAGGATAACAGAAAGATAACAGGTACGTTGCAAATGAGAGACAGACTAGGGACAGTGTGGGCCCTCTCCGAAAGCTATCAGGAGAACTGGCTACCCTAGATTTGGAGAAGGCTGAGGTTCTGAATGACTTCTTTGCCTCAGTCTTCACTGGCAGATGCTCTGACCACACCACCCAAGTCTTGGAAGATGGACGCAGGGACTGTGAGAATGAAGACCTTCAGCCCACTGTAGGAGAGTATCTGGTCCAAAACCATCTTAAAAACCTGAAGGTGCACAGGTCCATGGAACCTGATGAAATCCATCCGCAGGTCCTGAAGGAGCTGGCAAATGAAGTTGCTAAGCTGCTGGCCATCATATTTGAAAAATCGTGGCAGTCAGGTGAAGTTCCTGATGACTGGAAAAAGGGAAATATAACCCCCATTTTCAAGAAGGGGAAAATAGAGGACCCAGGGAATTACAGACCAGTCAGTCTCACCTCTGTGCCTGGCAAAAGCGTGGAGCAGATTCTCCTGGAAGGCATGCTAAGGCACATGAAAAACAACAAGGTGCGTGGCTTCACTAAGGGGAAATCCTGCCTGACCAATTTGGTGCCCTTCTATGATGGGGCTACAGAACTGATGGACAGGGGTAGAGCAATTGATGTCATCTACCTGGACTTGTGCAAAGCATTCGACACTGTCCCACATGACATCCTTGTCTCTAAATTGGAGAGACATCAATTTGATGGATGGACCACTCGGTGGATAAAGAACTGGCTGGATGGCTGCACACAGAGAGTTGTGGTCAATGGCTCAATGTCCAGCTGGAGACCAGTAACGAGTGGCGTCCCTCAGGGATCAGTGCTGGGACCGGTCTTGTTCAACATCTTTGTCAGTGACATGGACAGTGGGATTGAGTGCGCCCTTAGCAAGTTTGCCGATGACACCAAGCTGTGTGGTTCGGTTGATACACTGGAGGGAAGGAATGCCATCCAGAGGGACCTTGACCCGCTTGTGAGGTGGGCTGATGCCAACCTCATGAAGTTTAACCATGCCAAGTACAAGGTCCTACACCTGGGTCAGAGCAATCCCAGGCACAGCGACAGGTTGGGCAGAGAAGAGATTCAAAGCAGCCCTGTGGAGAAGGACTTGGGGGTGTTGGTCGATGAGAAACAACATGAGCCGGCTTTAGTGTGTGCTCGCAGCCCAGACAGCCAACTGCATCCTGGGCTGCATCAAGAGGAGCGTGACCAGCAGGTCGAAGGAGGTGATCCTGCCCCTCTGCTCTGCTCTTGTGAGACCTCACCTGGAGTATTGTGTGCAGTTCTGGTGTCCTCAACATAAGAAGGACATGGAACTGTTGGAACAAGTCCAGAGGAGGGCCACGAGGATGATTGAGGACTGGAGCACCTTTTGTATGAAGACAGGCTGAGAAAGTTGGGGCTATTCAGCCTGGAGAAGAGAAGGCTGCGTGGAGACCTCATAGCAGCCTTCCAGTATCTGAAGGGGGCCTACAGGGATGCTGGGGAGGGACTCTTCATTAGGGACTGTAGTGATCGGACAAGGGTAAGAGGTTAAAATTTAAACAGGGGAAGTTTAGATTGGATATAAGGAAGAAGTTCTTTACTGTGGGGGTGGTGAGGCACTGGAATGGATTGCCCAGGGAAGCTGTGTATGCTCCATCCCTGGCAGTGTTCAAGGCTATGTTGGACAGAGGCTTGGATGACATGGTTTAGTGTGAGACATCCCTGCCCAAGGCAGGGGTGTTGGACCTTGATGATCTTAAGGTTCTTTCCAGCCCTAACTATTCTATGATTCTATGATTCGAAGTGCTAAGTAAGCAGTAAACGTGTGTAACTGAATCAAAATGTAACATAGTAATATTGCATGTTATGAATGAAAATATACTACTGTATATTTCAGTCTTCAGACTGTTTGCATTCCTCTGTTCTTGAGCCTTTGTTCATGCAGTTTACCATCAGCATATACCGTTCTTGATGTATACTTTCCTTAGAACCTTAGTCAATAATCTTAAGAAACATAGAGAATATTTTTACCTTCAGAAGTAATTCTTATTAATAGTATTGTATTACAAGTTAATTACTGAAATAATTTCAAAACACCTACTCTTCTTTTTACACTTGATTTTACGTGTATAAATTTCTCGCATTATCTGTGGGTGCATCCATTTCATACATGTAATAGAAATCATTTACCACGTTGTACCTGCATTATATTTTTCTGTGCGTATCACTATAAGCTTGATAAACTTAAAAAAAAATAAGTAATCATTTGTATCATAGAGAAACTGGAGCCTCTTCAGGGTAAGCATCTTAAATTCTCGTTCTTTCCTGCATATATGTAGGGGAAGTGCCATAATGTGTTATGTCTTTACCCAGTGGTGGCAAACGCCAAAAGGTCTATTTAAAATCTGTCAGCAAATTACAATCCTTAGTGGCAGCTTACTTTTCCAGTTTCATATAGTAGAAGCTGTAAATGTAAAAGACTTGAAAATCCAAAGCTAATTGCTGATACGTGTGTTGTAATTGAGTGCATTTCTATGATGTAACAGGAGTTTTTATTCAGTTTCAGAAAATGTTAATGCTCCCTGGCCATGAAGATTGGATAAGAGGCATTGAGTGGGCAGCCTGTGGTCAGTATGAAGGATGAGTGGAGTACTGGTGTAATGACAGTACTGCTGTTTTACCCTTCCAACCCCTTTGGTGCACTGTAACACCTAAGCTTTTGTGGTTGTGTTTTGTTTTTTTTTTTTTTTTCTGAGGTGGTGGTACAGATACTAAAAATCAAGATAGAGGTTTGTGTCATGTTAAAACATAAGAATTGTTGAACTTAACGCTGCAGTTATATTTTAGTTATCAAAATTATGGCTACTGTAGTATTACAGAATACTTGCATCCTTCATTTTGTCTTGCTTTCTTCAAGTATGTTTACCTGACTAGTACCTCAGTGCAAACAATTAGGACTTTTATAGCAACTTGTCCTTTTTAATATGCAAATGTCTGTACCTGAGTGAGGAAGAGTTGGCTGCTTTTTCAAAGAGGGAAATGGTACTTTTCTTCTCCCCTCTTTTTTAGAATAGGAAATTAAGAGGAGAACCTGTTCAGATGTTCACTAATCAGACAGTTCTTACAGTGGCAGAAGATGAAATAGAAGGAATTAGAGGATGCTACAATCCTGAAAAAGGAGGAAAGAAGTTCTTGAACAGTATTGGAACTGTTAGAATTTTGGGAGTAAAGGCCCTAAGTAGTAGGGAAAAATACGTACAGTTTTTGCCATGTTTTCCATGTCTTTTTTAAGTAGGGGAGTGTCCATAGTCACTGTGTTATAAACTAGCAGAGTTTGAAATGGGAGAGTGAGTTGATGTTGAAATATGACAGCATTTTAAAATGCTGTGTAAAATAAGAAAAAATTAGGATAATGCTGTAGTGTGTGTTTGGAAAGATGGTAAGTTACCCGTTAGTTGCAAAAACAATGAAAACATAGCTCTAATTTATTTTATTTATTTATTTATTTATTTTCACCAAATAGGTGCAGACCTTTTCTTAGTGAGCTGTTCTCAGGATTGTTTGATCAGGGTTTGGAAAGTGTGTACAAAATCAAAGCAACTTCCAGAAACTGAAGATGATTCCATAAGACTGAAAGAGAATGTTTTTACTGTCAAAGGTAGGTAACAGCTGTAAAATTCTCTTGTACAGATTTTCATTCATGTATCTGTTTGTTGTTTCAGGGGAGCTAAAAAGGTGGTGGTTACCATCTAATTTGGTTTTGTTTCTTGTATTTAAAGAACCTGAGAGCATTTTGACTGCTATTTTTATTCTGCTGTTAGCAAAAGTGCAGTTACTGTTTCAAAGCCATGACTATGTAAAGTTAATTATGTTTTGCAGAAAAGGTAAAGCAGGGAGAGAGCTTAATACCAACATGGGTTGTTACACATATTCCAAGTGCAGTACGTAGGAGATATGTTTGTCTGTGGGAGGTAAGCTGTACTGCAGTTCTCTTCCAGTTTAATAGCATACCTTTAATTTTCTTTCAAATTGAGTACATTAAGAGTTACTACAATTACTTAAATCTTGGGAAACTACTGGAGAGAACAGATAAGAATGTACAGGATTATTTAATGGTTATTTAACATGCTGTTTGAGCACTGTAACATCAGAGGCTCGCAATGCTGGTATTGAGAGGTAAGTTATTAGGCAGTTTAGGTAATATAATGACGTTTGCATGATGTGATGTGTAGAAAGTGCTCATGCTACTTGCTGCAAATTCTGATTTGTCATTTGAAGTATCTTAATGCTTGTATTTACAGTCATTTGGAGATGTAAATATGATTTAGAGTAGGGGTAGAGCCAGTGTCAGAGCATTTATTTCAAAATGCTTGAGAGCTCTCCAGGAATTCTGTGCTGCCACTCTGAGTGACCTCTTAGCGTCAATCTGGTACTTGAGGCTTATGGCAAAAGCAGCTTTTCAAGGAGCTCTTCAATGTCAATAGGCTATTGAGATATTGGTAGATGATGAAAGATGATTTTTTTTTTCACTGAAGATACCAGAAATGACTTGGTCTTTCTTGGCTTTTAGAACGAAATATGCTTTTCTCTGATTTGTGGTAGATACTGATACGACATACGCAATTACTTTGGAGTCGGTGTTGGCTGGTCATGAAAACTGGGTGTATGCAGTTCACTGGCAACCTTCATTTTTCAAAGGTAAAATGATACCAAGCACTTAGCAGTTATGTTAAGTGTTGTGTACATAGTGTACATCACTGCATATTGCATTTGTATGTTCACTTGTCACTATAAAGTATGAAAATGTTTAAATTCTGCAAATAATGCTTTATAAGTAAATGGATGCTGCCTTTTACTCGTGTTTTCTTTAATGAATGAAGTAACTGAGCTGTACTGGCTTTATTGTAACTGATCTGTTATTTATGGAGTACAAATTTGGTATAAATTAATAGCTCTATTAGTTTACTTTGATATTTGCTTGAAATATCTGTTCTTTAGAAGGTAAGCATTAACTCAAGAGCACTCCTTTCTTTTTCTTAGAGTAGAAAGGAACAAATAACTACATTCAGAAGATCAATCCTCAGTCTTCTGCACATTAAGTACAACATGCCAGGGATTCCTTAAGTATCAGTTTTCTCTTACATGTAGTTTTAAGCATTAATGCAGATGTGCATTGGAAAAAAAAAAGTTATTTACAGTTTTAATTTTGCATTTTGCCCTAGCCTTTATCTTTCTTTTTAAATCCTTAAATTCTGGCAGCCTTGTTTGTAGTGCTGATTTGCTGGTGTGTGTTTGCCTTGTGTATAAGAGAAGGAGATTCTTGAGCACACTCAGAATGTGCTTGTGTATTTGTACTGGCAAAGGTGCCTTTTTTTTATTTCCTGAGATGTGTTAGAGTTACTGATGGCAAATGACATCACCAGTACAAAACACAGCTTTGCCAGCATATATAAAACACTTGAATGGTAGAATGCAATTAGAATGTCAAAAAACCTTTGGTGAAAGACGCAGAACTTGCTTTAGAAATACTGGCTGAGTTGCCTGTTCTTTATGTTTTTTTTTTTTTTATTTTATTTTTTCTAAACAGCAATAAAAGATTTTGCCTGTCAAAGCAAGGTTTAGGCACAATATAGGCGTATAAGTCTTGCACTACAATTTCAAAAGCTGTTCTATTAAGGCCATGAAGTTTTCCATGTGTCTTACATTATGCCTCTGCATGCATGCAGCTGTTTGCATTCTCTGGCCTACCCAATCTTGGGTTCCCCAAAATAGCTTCTCCTCTTCAGTAGAGGCAGGCTGGTCTGAGAGACATACTCTCAATGCATAAGGTAGGAGGTCTGGTGCTGACATAAGATACCACCTCATGAGGTGCCCACCAATATCTCTGTTCTCAAGAAAGGCTCCCCAATGGTTCTCCTGGGGATTTTTCAGTTGGGTGATGAGCCAGCTCCATCCTCTCCATTCTGTCTGTGTTGAGCAGTTGTCTGAAATGTTTCACTGCATTTTGGGGAGTAGTCCTTAGTACTGTATGTATTGCAAAGTGCTACAATCTGTTGAAGTCTATATTGAATCTAACACTTAATTTGGAAAAAAAAACCCTGAATATTGGCATAGAGATTATTTTGTTTTAAACTGTAATCTCTCAGTAAAAATTTATTTGGGGAATAAAACTGAGAACTGCTATGCAGTGTCTCTGTGAAGCTCTGGCTTTTTCTTCATATTTGTTTCAATATCAATTTTGAGTGAATAAGCAGAGTATGGTTGTTCTTGTGTACGTGTGTTTTACGTTTTCTTTCAGACATTGTGGCTGAAAAATACATTAACTTCTAATGAATGCTTGGCCAGAACCTAGAGCTTAAGTTTGGCACTTAAGTACTGCATTGCACACCTGATACCAAACAATTTTCTTAATGTGTTTGGATTTCAGTATGATCAAATGCTCTTAGATAGTATTCTTGTAGGTTGTAGGATAATTGTTTTCCTTGTACTGTAGATGGCAGCATGCAACAACCAATGCGGATAATGTCTGCATCAATGGACAAAACTGTGATCATCTGGGAACCTGATAAGGAATCTGGAGTCTGGCTAGAACAGGCAAGTGTCGAGTCTTTCTCACAATAATGTACAGTATTCAAGTTGCGTTTCCAACATCGTGTGTGTAGTGTAGGGAACAAAAATTCTACAAAATACTGGCATGAAAGGCAAAAGCATCTTCTTGCAGAAGTACTCGTTATGATGCTGTGTTGTGGGTAAAACTATATTTTTCAAAAAGGATGTGATGCACTATGATTTGTTTGCTTTCTTATTACCATATTGAAGAGTTTTTAAGGGGAGTTTGTGCTCAATTGTCATTTATAGCATAGCAAGCTAAGTGTTGTATGGTAACACGTGTTGTGTACTCCTGGCAAGAAGAAGAAACCTTTCTGAATTATTTGTAGTAATCCTCATGGGAATATTGTACCCAAGCAGTTACTACAGAGCAGCTGACATGCAATTCACAAGCCTGGTTTTACTCACAGTAATTTGTTCATGGGCTGCATCACTAGGTTTTTCCGCCATGTGGTCTGTTTTTTCACGTTTCGCTGTAGTATTTTGAATGCTGTTCCGATGTGGATCATCCTAAATAAACAAGTAGTACAATGAGATTTATCTAGTCCTATGGCAGATGTCTTTGTTTTCAGTTGACCTGCTTTTCCAGATTGCAGTAGTTTGGCTGAAATTGTTTGTGTTGGCTTACGCCAACCATTGTTTATGATTTTTCCGGTCACAGAGAAAGTTCTAATCCTTTCTTGGGTGAAGAAGAATTACAGTAGCGTGTTTACTTTTTCCTTTGTTCCACTAAAAAGTTTTTATGCCTTTCTACTTGAAGTGGAAATTGCTTCACAATAGGATGATCACATAGAGATACCATGTCCCTAGTTGAAATGCTTAGTTGTGGCTAAATTTACAAGCTTCTAAAAAGGGGTTGTGCAGTAAAGCTTGTTGCATGGTGTTACTCTTTGTTTTTACATTCTGTTAGCATTGGTTAGACCTCAAGTGAGCAGCTTGCAGTTCAGATTTTAACTGCAGCAATCCTTTTCGCATTGAGGGAGGGAAACCTGAGCTGGAAGCCTGCAGGGAAGAGAGGCACAAGGGGAACATCACATTTTCTGTCTTTCTCATGACAAACAAGAAGTCTTCACAAAATCATTCCCATGCTCAGAGGTGAGACTAGAATTCTGCCTCTGTCATGGCATATCAAAGTCACTTCCATGAGAGAAGTATTTTTTTGAATGAGTGCTAATAAAATGGGCACAGCACCATTTAGAATGAGGTATAGATTCATTTCATTGTGATCTTAAAAGCAGGTGTATAATAATGGGGGAATTGTTAAGAGTTTAGCTTGAGGGGAATTGTGGTCTTATCTCTTGACTAAAACTTGATAATTTAATATTTTAATGCAATTAAAAACTTGGAAGAGCACTACAGGAACTATAAGGCATTTGTGTGTGTATACACACATACATATCACAAGGGAAGCACAAAACAGAGGCCAGAATATGCTACAGCAGCAATGTAGAGCAAATTGTAGGGATTCCTGGAGAAACAGGGAAGTGGAAATACGGTAGTGAATTTTGGAAATTAAGGATTGGAGGGGCAAATAATTGGGAACTATTTTCCTTTGGACCATTTTTCCATTTTGTGCAACAGATGACAAGAAACTGTTGCATCCAATGGACTGGAGTGAACCACGGGAAGATTCCGTTCCCCATTTCATCTTGTGCAGTGTTTTCTTTCCCTTGAGGGACTGAGCAAGATCCTGTCCTTTTATGAAGGGAGGCTCCATTAAGGTGGCATGCAGCTTTAATTCCCATGATATTTTAGTTCTTAATTTTGCAATTAAAATATTCTTTAAAAGTATTTTTGTGTGTAATGCAAACTCTTGCCTACAGCTAAATTTTCATCTCATGAGGTTAGGATGTGTTTGTATGAATGGGAGACAGTTTTCATGGATATTTAACTTCTGATTATTAATTTAGGTGCGTGTAGGTGAAGTGGGTGGCAATACCCTTGGATTTTTTGACTGCCAGTTTAGTCCAGATGGTTCAATGATAGTTGCTCATGCTTTTCATGGAGCATTACATCTTTGGAAACAGGCTACAGGTAATAAGGTACGTTGTTTTTTTTATTAGTACCTAAAAGAATTACAGTTAGATGTCACTTGAAGTAAGTTCTGTTTTTAATAGAAAAATTTAACAGTACAAGCTAAAATTAATGATTGAAATAGTCCTTCTCTGAATATAATACTCTGTGGGAGTCTTGTGCCTGCACAGAAGGGGGGTTGAACTCTCCCAGGCTCTAAAATTGGTTGCTTCCCTGTGGAGCCATAAAGTCAGTGGAATACACCAGACTCCTTAGGGGTTGTGCTTTGTTCAGAAGTGGCAGCTAAACCAATAACACAAGTTTCTTCTAGATTGGAGCAATAAATCAGTATTTGTGTCTCTTTCACCACTTCGAGTTCTAATAATTTGCTGTTTTCGATGCCTTTTGTTTTTTGGCTTTTGTTTTCTTTCTCATAAGGGCACTGATGATTTTATTTTGGTTAGAATATGTCAGTCAGTCAATTGAAAAACCCTTGCTGCTTTCTGACTTTTGTAATAGAAAGAGTGGACTCCAGAAGTTGTGATTTCAGGACATTTTAACAGTGTAGAGGATGTACAGTGGGACCCAGAAGGAGAATTTATCATCAGTGTTGGTTCTGATCAAACTACTAGACTCTTTGCTCCATGGAGAAGGAAACAAGAGACAGAGGTATGATCTTCAAAGATTTTGTGAGCTTGGTAAAGAGTGCTTGTCTGTCCTGAGTTTGGAACAAGTCACCTGAACATAACTCAAACATTGAATTGTCCCCAAGCTATGATCTGTTCAAAATTGCTTTTGTAAATGCTTGGATTAGTCATTGAGTATGTACTGGTTTCACTTTAAAAATGCTAGTGGCAGAGTTTTAGCAATTGACATAGCATGACTGCTGTTTAATCCTGAGCTTGCCTCCGGATTGCCTTCAGTTGGTGTTCTTTCAGGGTCTGCAATAATTCAGAAGTAGGTATACATGGCTGATTTTAATAACCATCTACTGCCCTTATTTAACACTTGTCTAAGGACTGCTGCAGGTAATCATAAAGTAATTCAATTTTGGTTGTGTTTTATTACACAAACTTAATCTAAGCAAAATTCTCACTGTATATTTTAAACTATTTAGGTTATGACTCTGTTTTACCGGAATCATCATCTGACCTTCCTGAGCGCAGTTGGTACACGTGCAAGCAACTTTTCAGGAAGAATTATTCCTTACTAACTTTGTATATTCCAAAATAAGTCTAAATCGTGGTAGGAGAAACCCTAAGAATGTAAATATTCCTGTTTCTAGCTGTTCACACATTTTCCTCATCTACAAATACAGCTTTTTCTGGCACAGCAGTATGAATGTTCCATTCAGGAAGCTGGCAGAAACTAGATTGAAATCATGTGAGGCCCTGTGCAAGCTGTGCTATTAGTTGGGGGAGTCAACGGGCGGATCTTACAATTGTCTCATCAATGCATCTGTAGTGTGACCAGCACAGGATGTCTGATGTTTTTCAGAGAGTGAATTTGGCATCAATGTCTCGATTTCCTTTTTTTGGGCCATACAGAAGTGGTGGCGAGCCCAGCTCAGATGCTAAGCTTTGCCTTGTGTGGTAGGAAGGGCATCTTCAGTTTCCTTCTCAGTCTTTTGCCGCAGTCTCCAATCTGGAGGGTACAACAGCTCTGTGGAAAAGATAGTATGTTGAATTTGATGTATGGTTGCAAAGTCCAGGACTAGCACATGATGTAAGTTGGCAGCATTCAAAATAGCTGTCAATACCACGTTCTCTGTGACATACTCAAATACTACTCTTTATTACTTGCTAACATTTATTCCTATTTTCTGAAAGACCCGAGTCTTCTGTGACTTACCTGTACAGCTGTTCCTTCTGTCCCTGAAACTTTTGAATTAATTGATTTAGCATAGTGGTTGCAGTCTTCATATCGAAGTTTGGTGTGAGCTGAACTATTTTACTTCCCCTCCGTGTTCTGACGCAGTATCATGCGGATGTTTCAACCAGGTGTAAATCCAAGTAGCATCAACATTTGTTGCTGCACAGGGTGTGGGAGAAAGCTATAGTATCCTGTTGGTGGGTTGAGGTGGAAGGTTAAGGTAGAAATAGATCATTTGAAGAGGTGTATTCAGGACTTCTGAACCCTGCAAACCAGGTTAGTTCTGCTGCTCATGAGCTTAGATATCAGGCTTTTAAAATTACCTGCTTTCTTTACCATGCTGGGTTTAGCATCTGAAAAATTGTAACAGGTGACATCTGATGTTTACAGGACACAATGGATTGTTCAAATAGCTATGAAAAGTACTACAGCTCAATGTTCATGTTTTACTCTGTAAAAAGAGAACTGTGTGAAATGCAAATAATTATCCTGCCTTGAAACCTCAATTCTGATATCATACTGGGTTCAAATATCAGAAATGAGTGACAACAATCAGCTTTGATTTGTCACGCAATTTGCACCCTGATTTTTCTGGAAGAAGCTTATTGCCTGACTTACACAGCCCTCTCTTTGTTTTGGGGTTTGGTTTTGTTTTTATTTTTCATTCCTGTTTTTTATGTGGCTCCAAAGTATGCAAACATGTACCTAGTAAAGACCTAGTAAAGGGTAAGAAAGGTTTATAGCACTGTTTTCATGTAGATTTTTCGGTTTGTTTGCTTGGTTTTTTTTGTTTTTTTTGAGGGGATGCTTTCTGTTTTTGTTCTTTTTCTGGTAAAAAAGTAATGCCTTTTTCTCACTGCAATAATCAAGCTCCTGTGAAAACATCAGATTTTGTAGGATCCCATTCAGATTTCCACATTTGAAACTTAGTTGAATTTTTAGTGTGATATGTGCAGTTCACAGGCAATGTTGAAGCCTTTCCTTATGTTTGTATATCTAGTACAATGTAAATTCTGTCTTGGCTGTAATTTTCCAGGCATTGTAATACTGATCTAATTCTGCTAGTTGTTAAGTCAAAAGTACACACTGTATTTTTCCAAATGAAGAATCATGTAGGAATAGTAGAAAATGACACTAAAAATCTTTTCATGAAAATGTATTTGCTAGAAAATAGATGTGGGGGTGTTTTTGTTTTAGAATAATTTTTTTTCATGTGTAGAATAGCATTTTTAGAAGACCAATATAAATAATTTAGTATATTTTTTGCTAATATTCTTTGCTTAGTGTAACTGTAAAACTAACATGTCTGTCTAATTTTTGGTTAGCTGTCAATTCTGATTTTCTTGGATTAATGCTTGAAGCATGGGTATGATTATTTTGGGAAACTAGGAAAAAAAATTAATAATTAAAATGAAAACACTTCTAAAATCATAAGGATTTACCAGATGTTTTTTCTATAAGAAGCTATTTTGGTTTTGTCAGTGCTTTGCAAAGCTTCTATTAAATGGTCTCACTAAAATCAAGTACTTAAAGAGGGGAAGTAGGAACCTGTAGCCTGCTGACAGCAGTGCTGCTGTGCTTTGTGAGAGACAGATAAAGGAAGCAAGGTAATTGTAACTACCTGTCTTATGTCTTTCAGAGCTAAAGTTTTGAAAGTAGTAAATAGCATACAATCCTCCTTTTGCTTAAGCAAATTGTGTCCTATTCCTGATTATCTAGCATAAAGAAGTCACAGTAAAAGGCAGTGTGCCCTTAGTAACAAAGGTAAGCAAATGCCGTAAACATATTTGTTCATGGTCACAGTTTACTAGTTACAGGAATTGTTTGGTGGAAAAATAGGATTTAACTGGTGTATGTGGGCATACATCAGTTTTATGAATCATGCCTATAGAAGGTTGCTATTAACTTTATGTTAATAAAGTCAGCAAGTAAAGTGTTAGTACTTCTTTTGAACTCAAAATCTCTAGTTAAGAATTGTGTTTTAACTATCTGTTCATCTAGGTAACGTGGCATGAAATTGCAAGGCCTCAAGTACACGGGTATGACATGCGTTGTCTGGCGATGATTGGCCGGTTTCAGTTTGTGTCAGGAGCAGATGAAAAAGTGCTTAGAGTTTTTTGCTCTCCCAAGAATTTTATAGAAAATTTCAGTAACATCACTGGTATTCCAGTGGAGAAGCTGTGCTCCCACGTAAGTATGCTAAAGCAGCACTAAATGAAAACACCCCTCTTTCATGTAAATAAAATGAATGCTTTAGAAAATGTCAAATTTCACTGAACTGCATAAAAATCGGATTAATAGTTCTGAAACCTTAACCTGGTTTTTCCTTTTATTAGCTTCAGTGTGTGTTGTTTTATATGTATTTTTTGGTGTCATCTTATAAAACAGATTGCATTTGTAACTTACCAAGACCGAGTCTCTGAAGATTAAAACTTACCTGTGCTCTTTTTAAAGTTGTCACACCAAGTAGACTACTGCGCACACTTTGTGGTTTGAAAGCAAACAATAAGGACTGGGAATGTGCTTCTTAATTCAAGGGTGTAGTAGTCTTGTCTAGATGTAATTACAGTTGTGTGGTTATGTGTGGTTTTGTTTTGGTTTTTTTTTTAATTGTATGCTTGGAAATAGCATAAAGCTTTTTCAGCGCTGTTGTTAGTTGTTACATGTAAATATTTATAAATATGTACTTGCTCATGCTTTATTTCCTCTTGGCATTGGAAATTTTCTTGAGACCTTTACATTCCAGTTCTTAGTTGTCAATAAGTGTAATTTCCTGCTCTGTGGAAAGATAAGACTGCTGAGTTGCTGTCCTTTCCTCCCCATTTGCTTTAAGATCTAGTTCTGTTTTTCTTTGCATTTTGTAGAGCAGACCTCATTCAATGTAGCTGCCTCTGTACGTGCCTTGCATGGTTTTTGCATTTCTGGTTCAAAAGCAGACAGTGTTTTCTGTGCAGCTTCTCAGACATGGATTAGACTTTCCATTTAATTTAACAATTGAGATACCTGGGAAAGAAATCTATTAATTTTTGATGGCAAGAAGTTACATAAATAGCTGTTTAGTGCTTTAATTCCATAAGACTTTGTAAACATGTGCGTTAATGATATTGTGCTTGCATAATGCTGGCAGATGTCATTAATTTGTTTTCATGCAGACTTTTCTTATCAGGTCTTCCTCTGAGTGCTACTTTTTTATTCATGATATCACAGTGTTTCACATGGGCTTAGTTTAAAGAGGAAGGTTTTATTAACTCTAATATACAGCTGCTCTTAAAAAACTGTATAGCTGAGACAGAAAAGTAATAAAAACAAAAAAAGCCATCTTAATATTCAAAAAGGGTTGAACAGGATTATATTTAGTTCAAATCCATCAGATTGTATTACGCCCTGGGTTGTAATGAAGAACCTTTTTTGGTTCAGAGGCCTTAGATTTGTGTGTGTATCCCACATTTTCTCATCAAATTATGAACATTTAAATAAATAACATAGTATTTTAAGTTGTCACCTAAATTATTAGTCCAAATCTGGAAAGCAGTCTTTCTTTGGACTTTTCAGACACTGTAAGGAAGGGGTTTTACAAATATTAAATCTGATCTTTTTCCATCTCTGCACAAAGGCCCCAAGTTCACTTACCCTTTCTAAATTTTTGCTTTTATCCCCGTACCTTTATGAAAGTATTTGCTGTGATGATTTGTCTTTCCTCTGTACTGTCTTGAACAGGCATATGCTCTGGTCTGTGCTGTGTACGAAGCTGTGTGTGAAGGTGTGGGCACAGGCACTCACCCTCTGTCCCGTTTTCCAAAATGCTGCTTTATTATTTCACCTCAAAACAGACCATTTCCCAGTCCTATGGTGTTAAACTGCAGTGCTCTCAGTTAATTGATTACTTAACAGATTCTGGATGAGTTGGGAGTTTTTCAAAGTGCCCCCCTTCACTTCTCTAGAAAAGTCACTCTTGGGGGTTCCTTGAACTATGGACTTTGAAATCTGAACCTACATGACGATCCATATGTAAACTTTATTTATTTATTTATTTATTAAATTCAGCAACCATCTGATCTTCCAGAAGGTGCAACTGTGCCAGCTTTGGGATTATCCAATAAAGCTGTTTTTGAAGGTATGGCTAATAAAAAATAATGGTGGTCGTGTTTCATGTGGAAACGGTGATTTAAGTGGTTGTTTTAGTGTATATCTTTTTGTTAGGTTTGTAATTGTAAGCTTGACTGAAAGTTTAGAATCTTAGAAATAAAATCATCCAAAGTGTTTATTTCTCTGGTAGCACCTAAATATGGTGCTTCAAAATAAAAAAGCACAAGTGAGGCTCTTTCTTCCCTTTCTCAGATTTCTCCTCTAACCATTCCCTAATGTCTCTTGCAAACCTAAAATACCCTTTTTCTGGTTTCCATATTGTGTCCTGCACCTCTCTTTTGGAGGAGCCCCACTCAGTCTGCACAGTGCTCCTGAGAGTCCCTGCTGTTGACTGATCTTGATGAGTTTCACGCTGGGGCACATTGCTCTCCTTTGATGGTTATGGGAATAACCACAGCAGGGTATTATTTCCCCACCTGCTATTGTTCCTCTGTTTTCTCCATGCCCACTACCCACTCCTCTAACCCCCTAAGAAGACTGGTGACTTTTAGCCAAGAGAATTACTATTGAATAGTGTACTGTAAAAACTGGGCTCAGTCCTGTTAAAGCAGGACTCTGTTGCTACTTGTGGTTGCTTTGTAAAATACTGCTACATTCTGGAGTAGTTTTCATACTTTCCTCAAATGTTAGCCCCCTTGTAGAAGCTTAATGCTTTGAGGGAGATCAGTGGCACGTTTTCTGTTCCAGTGAAAATAGCCATAACTTTTTTTTTTTTTTTTTTTTTCCCCCAGGAATGTTTTGCCTTGTGAAAGTATTAGGGAAGGAAGAATTAATTGGCCAACAGTAGCTAATGTTCTGTTGGTGAAAGGCTTGTGAGATGCCAGATGAATTTCGTTTTTCTACTGCTTTTTCATGAGCTCTGCTGAGAGGGAACAATACTGCTTTTTCCTAAAGTATTGTCACACAAAGAATAATTAATTTCCATTGATTTCTGGGTACACCCAGAAGCAGCATTATTAGTAGAAGAGCTGTAAAATTTTCCTTCATTGTCCACCATTGCCCACCCAATGCTGTCAGGTGCTGATGGCTTATGTTAAAGCCCCGTAGACCTTTCTTCTTGCTTATTCTGCAGAGGAATCTTCCTCATGAGTGTTGATCACCAGATAGCAGTCTCCAATTAGATAAATATTGTTAAATTTCATTTTCAAGGGAAGGGAAGACAGAATGAATGAGAAGAATAGGTTTTCTGTTCTGCTTTTTCTGTACTTTTTTTAACCTGTGCTGTGTTTGAAATGTGCATTTGGCAAAAAGTTAGATTCTGTCTGAGAACAACTGTTCCCCAACTCTGTATCTTTTTCTTAAATAATACCTTCAAAATGAAGGACAGAGTTGAATTTTAACTTAAAATTAACTGGAGTAGTGTCAGTTACTTCTGGTACTTTTGCCTAAAGCTAAGGACTGAGCCCTTGGCAGTTCTGCTGAAGTTTGCTGATTGTAGGTAAGTTTCTGCAAGTATGGCTTTTCATTTAGGGATCTACAGTAAATTTAGGAATTCACCACTTGTATTTGAGATTTTTTGCCTTAGGCATTTTCAAATACAGAAGGAGGGGTCTAATGTTGGGGAAGTACAGGTTCAACTCCTGACGACTGCTTCTTCCTGGTAGATCAAAGTCTGTTTTAAAATCTCTGAAAGAGACTTGTACTGATGGAGACAGGTCAGTCTTGGAATGAAATTAATCCAGAGGTTAGATTTTAATTTTTTGTAATTTTTTCCTCCTCATTCTCTTGTACTTTAGAATAACTAGATGGTAATATTCATATAATTGTAACTCTAGAAACAAAGGAACCTGATTTCCATTGCTTATATTGTAAAACCAATAGATTTGTTTTTTATTTGTCTAATAATTTTTTTCCCTTATATCAAGTATATTCTCTTGAGCTAATGAAGTCCTTACTTTGAATAGGCGATATGGCTGTTCAACCAGCTGAGGATGAAGAAACATTTAATACCATTTCGAATCAGTATCCTGAGGTTTATTTTCAACCCTTGATCCTTACAGGTATGATATTAATTTCTATTGTAGGAAATAGAGAATGAGGATCATTAGATATAAACTTGAAAGATTATTTGGCTGATTTTTTTTTTTTTTTAATAGATTAGTTAGAACCAAATTTGAATATGTTGTACAAATATCTTTTAGAACCTCCCCCAGAGGATCACTTGCTGCAGAATACCTTGTGGCCTGAAATTCAGAAGTTGTAAGTTTTATTTTCCTTTTTTATTTAATTTAGGAAATTTCCAGAAAGCTATTGCAACATGGTCATGTAGTCTGGTCTTGTAACTCTTCCTGTTTTACTACCTGATTGACTTTGTGTGCAGTATATTGCTTATAAAATAAATAATTTATATGTATAGAAAAATGAGGAAACAGTGCAAAAAATGGCAGAACTGATTTGTCACAAAGTTTTACTTCACTACTTGTTCGTGAAATATGCATATTTTTTAGCACAGAGCTAAGTTTTTGAATTTGTAATGAGCAGACTTTGATTGTTCCTTTAGATGTTTGTCTTTTGGAGGTCTGTTTAGGGCACTGGTCCTAGGTATTTTCATCTGTTCCACGGGAATGGTAAGGTTACTGGTTTGCTACAAGGAGCTGCAACGTGTTCTCATGGTCTTATCTGTGCTCAGGAATGTTATGGGCCTCTCTTCCCATGCTGCAGTCTTTGTTTATATCTTTCTGCTCTGCACATCTGCTTAAAACCTTGCCTATACTGAATGTCTCTTGGCATAGGGAGTTTTCTGTCTCTTTCCACCTCATGGCGCTTGCAGATCAAGTCTGTCTTTCTGGTACAGAGGTAAAGGCTGAGGCATCAATGCAGGAGCTTCCCCCTAAGCCTACCCAGAGCTGTAAGGTGCAACAGATGGAGGCAGCAGTCAATACTGTATGTGTCTAGTGGCAGAGCGAAGTGACGAATATTGAGTGAGGTGGTTACAAACCCAGTTTAGGTATTGAATACTGACAGAGCATGTTGTGGATTGCGAAGGTAATAGTTACATAGTCATGACAGTAATTGTTTTGAGGTTGAATGGTTCTTCAGCTATGTTTTGTTCCTTCTTTCCTGAGATTCACAACAATTTGCAATTGAAGGTTGTCACCTTATTTGTTCTGTAAGGATCATGGTAACACTATGCTACACTCTCACAATCTTCAAAGCTTTAGTATCAATCTTCAAAAGAAATGAATCATCTCAAGATCTTACAGTTTATTTATCTTAATCTCCTGAAAGAGTGGTCTCAGGCAGGAGCAAGAATAATGTTGAGCCTTTGCTGATGATTACGATTGTGTTTCTACATTCCAAGTTTTGTGACTTCACTTGGGGGGCAGGAAATAAAAAGCTTTGTGAAAACAGTTTGCAGGTTGTTTTAATTTGACCAAGTAGGAGGAGGTTTTGTGGGAGCTCATCTTTACCTTCAGTCGGGCAGTTAATTTTCTTTGAGTGCTTTAAAGCTCTATTACTGTGTTTGTACTCAAAAGTGCTTATAGGAGGGAAGCTGCTGGATATTGGACCGTACCTGCACATTTTGTATTTTCTAATCATTACGTTAACTGCTTCTCCTGTGTGTGCTATGGCTGCTAATGTACCCACTCACATAAAGATACCTTATCAAACCACTTAAGTAGTGAAAAGAAGCCAAGGCCAAAATTTTTCTTCATTTAATTTTGACATTTCTCGAAGTCTAGTGAGACATGAATTTTTGATATTCTGCTAACAGGACTACTGCATATCTGCTTTTATATCCTGCATTCATTAAAATAACTGCATTTTATGATGGTCTTAGGTGACTTCTGAGCAATTTTTTCTGTTTTTAGAGACACAGCTAGTGATAGGGATTCTTTTATGCAAGGGCAACAAGATGTGAAGCATTCATAGACTTTCAGGTTTTTTCCTCAGGATAATCTTGAAAGAAATAACGTGAAATCGCATAATGTAGATTTCAAGTTGCCATAGCAGCAGAAAAACAGTGTGAGGAACTGGCTTGCTAAAAATAGCTTGTTTGTCATTGACATTTGTGCATTCCCAGCTCTAACTTGATACCAAATTTTGAAGGATTTGTGTTGGGTATTGCAAACCTTTTGCTTAAGTAGGTTTTAGTATGAAGAACTTGCTGAATTTTTTACATAATCTAATAACTTTAAAATAAAAATATGATAAATCCTGTGAGAGTGTGCTAGTCTTTATCCTCTTGGAAAATTACTGTAGAGAGTTTACGTGCAGCAGGCTGTGATTAAAGTGTTGTCATAAATACATGTTTATATGGATGTACATTTCATGTAATACACTTGGAAGTCTTGAGGAATCCCTTTTGACATTAGAAAATTACTGTCATCGTTTGTGTGGACACCTTGAAAGTCCAGTTTACCAGTGCATAAAAATATGCTATGAATTGCACATTGTTAAGCCAGAATCTGTTGTGTTTGAAAGTGTAATTTCATTATCGATTCGGTCTCTCAATTATGAACATTTTTTTTGGTATTATAGGACATAATGAAGGGATCAGATTGCATGTATGGAGGCATGAGAGGGGGTTGTACTGGAGCTTCTATACTTGCAAGGCTGATACTTATTCATACAAACATCTCCTCCTGCCACTAACTTTATTCTCTTTATTGGAGACAGCACTGACCTGTATAGGCTGCCACTCTGACCTGTGGTAATCCTGCTCATGTGACTTTGCAGAAGACAGTATTTTAGGTTTTGTTTTGATTTAAAGATTACATTTTAGTGCTTCTGTTTAGCAAGAGTAAAGTTGCATGCAGGAGCTCAAAATGTTTCTGTCAAAGTGCTCTTCAATATTACATTTTGTCGTGGTTTAAACCCAGTCAGGTAACTTGTTCACTCACTCCCAGTGAGTGGTGCCGAGCTGACAACAATCAAGGTCCGTGTCCGCGTGTCTGTCTCCCCCCCCCCCGCACCGGGGCTCTCCCCTTCCCCGCTCCCGGAGGAACGGGGAGGAGGATCGAGGGAGTGCAACTCCTATGGGTTGAGACAAGAACAGTCCAGCAACAAATCACCACCCCTACTATCAGCTAAAACAATGATAAGGGAAAATAACAAGGGAAGAGAATACGATACCACTGGCCAAGAAAACGAGTTCCACCCGGAAGCCCCGTGTCCTTCCGGGTAACTCCCAGTTACCCCCCACCCCGGGCATGACGTGCTGTGGTATGGAATACCTCCCCGGCTAGCCCGGGTCAGGCGCCCCGTCTCTGCTTCCTCGCAGCTTCCCCTCCTCCCTGGCAGAGCATGAGCCTCACAGAGTCCTTGGTCAGGGTAAACATCACTTAGCAACAACCGACAACATCGGCTTCACCAACACTGTTCTCAAACTAGAAGTCAAAACACAGCACTGCACCAGTTAACACAAAGGAAAAAACATGACTGCTACTGCTGAACCCAGGACACATTTAAGAGATAATACCAGAGTAATTGGGGACTTGTTTCACAAGGTGTTCCACAGGTCATTTTTTCTTTGAATTTCAGGGAATTTATACTTTTCATGGAATAAATACTTTTCAGATTTAGACAATTGACTTCCAATGGTTTTTGCTACAGAATAATCCCCAGGAATGTGCTTTAAAAATGAGCATTATGGTAAAACTCCTGCTGGTGGCAGATTAAGAGGAAGACTCGCAGTAGTACCTTAATTATTATAAGATGCAATCAAATTTGCAAATTAACGTTCCAATTAACAGCCAATAGTCCCTCTCCCCAGGCACAGTTACCCTTCATGAAAAACCAGTGCATCCCCAGTCTTCAGACATGAATGTGGGAGTCTGTCTGTGGGATATGCCCAGCAGTGACTCTTCTGGATTACGTTCAATAGATAGAGACAGTAATTTGTCACTGAAACAGATGGCTGTTTTGGCTGCAAGTGAAATCCCATGAATATCAATCCCTTATAAGAACTTTGCAACACTCCTGACTTGAAGGAGTTTATTAAGAGAACTGCCCATCTCTTCAGAGGTAGGAATCAAAGGAGCAACACCTCCCCCTCCTTCCCCCCCCCCCCCCAACTGGTATTTAGGTGATATTTGTCCACTATTTATAGGTTTCATCTCCAGTTTTGCTTTACTTCCATTCTGTTGTCTGTTTTTAATTTGTGTTAATCTGTGTGACCTTTCTGCTTATTCACTAAATCCCAGTCCAGAAATATGAGCTTCAGTCCCAGCACAACTTGTGCAAAGACTGATCAAAAAATATATTTCTGGAGAGAGCTGCAAGGTTTGGGTTTTTTACAGTGTTGTATTCCTTCTCTAACGTGGTTTTTGTCCTCTGGTTCAGAGATCTTTCACTATTTCACAGAACAAGCATCCTTTGGTTGGGTGTTTGTGGTGGATTTCTTTGGTGACCTTCAAATGTATGGCTTCTGATTTTTTTTTACTGGTAGTGTAAAAACTGCTTTAGAAGAAAACAAGAATACATTTCATGCTGTTCTAATCTGCTTTGTTAATCCTTAGTATAGCTTCTGCAGTGCTGATGCTTTAGGACTAGGGAATGGGCTGGACATTTTTTTTCTGTAGTCAGTTCCTAAATGTGAAAGAATTTAAGCAGGTGTTAAATTTAATGCTGAACATGATTAGGAATTACTTGGGACAAAATACTGAAACACTGGTGAGAAGTTCCTGGAAGGTGCCTTTCATGTTTGCAGAGGGATTTAAATTAACATAAGAACCTTGATGCGTACTGCAAAAATGACTGTAATGTGTTAAATATTTTTTCACATTTATTTCAGATATGGACATGGATATGAAATTTTTTGTGTTGCTTGCAATAATTCAAACACTCTAATTGCCTCAGCATGTAAGGTAAGAAAAGATTCTAGCACCATCTAGTGAAAAATGCCACCATACTTCCAGGGCTGACAGAGCGGGAGTCAGAATTCAGTTTGGGCTGAATTCTGTTCTTTCACTTCAATGTGAAAAGATTTTGTATAGATGACAGTTGTCTTGTGAAAGTGAGAGAGAATGCAGATAAATTATTATTCATAAACCATGCATGATTCATTTGAAGATATTAGTAAGATAAATTCTAACAAATACAGGTATAAAACATTTACTTCCTGTAAAATCAGCATTAGTAGAAAGTAGCAAAAAAATCTTTAAACTTTTCAGGGGAAAGCGCGATCTAACTTAATTGCAAGCCTTAAAACAAGCACCCTGACATCTTTGTCTTTTGAAATGTGTTCCTTTGTATTTGCTTTTGGTAATTCTCACTGATATTTTTTTTCCATCAATACAGGCTTCCAAAAAAGAACATGCAGCAATTATTCTGTGGAGCACTGCTTCTTGGAAGAAACTGCAGAGTTTGTCATTTCACAATCTGACTGTTACCCAGCTGGCATTTTCTCCTAATGAGAAATTTTTATTAGCGGTTTCTAGAGACAGGAATTGGTCACTGTGGAGGAAAGAAGACTCATCAGAGTCAGGTAAGATATGTGAAGTGGATATACACATTTGAAGACTTCATGGTTTGTTCAATACTTTTGGCTTCAAAATACTTGAAAGAGAATTGGTAAAACTATTTTAATGGACATTTTCAGTGCAACTTTTAAGAGTTAATAGTATTGTAGACTCCTAAGTGCAGTTAATGATGTACAGGAAAGCTAGAAAGGGAATTAAAGTGTGGAGAGGAATATAATCAGGCCTTAAATACTGTTTAATTGATGGATGTAATGAAGTCTGCTATTTGTCCTCCTGCCTCCTACTTCTGAATATAGGTTTCAGATTTACTGAAATCAGGCAGCCATGCTGGACTGTAATGCTGGAACCTCAAACTGGTATTCTGTGGAGGAAAACCTTCATCTCTGTGTTCTATGCAGGCAGGACTTTGAAGGTTCTTTGCTGTACCCATGTCCTATATAGAGCTGCCTTGTTCCTGTTTGCAGGGCATGACACTTTGAGACTCTTGACAGGATTAATTTCTATCTTTGGTGTGGCTTTCTGATAATCCTGCACAATTGATTAATTTGACTAGGACTGTCTCTGGAATAAATGCTGATAATAAAGATTCAGTTGACTTTCTTATTAAGACTTTGAGCCCTGCAAAATCATGAGGAGATTGCTGTTGAATGTTTAAATGGATTCCTAGAACAGATGCTTGTGCTGAAGGCGATTATCTTGCACTATTGGCTTAAAAGCATGTAAACACTACTGGGATCTGTAGTTTTCCTAGAGTCTTGGCAGAGAGTTTTGGTCTGTTCATACAGTGTCTGGTTGTATCCTGGCTTGAGATTTCTGTGCTTTTCAGACGTCGGTTCTAAATCCTGGTGTATTGCCCACCATAGTTACACAGAGTTTCAGGATAAGGAGTGCAAATTCTCATAGGAAGTAGAGGAAATCCAGTTTTCATCCAGATAAAAACTGGATTTACTTTCATCAGTAACTTTTCTGTCTATGAAGAACATTGTTATCAGTATAAAGTGAAACCGCTGGTATTGGCATCCTGAGAAGTGGTTATGCGAAGTTTATGTTCCAAATATTTTCTGCCTAGGAAAACTATTCCCATTTACTGATTTGCTGATCAGCTTTATTGCCTGATTGTATGCATATTGAAATGGCAGCCTGTCTCTTTGAGAACAGATTAATCTTTACAATTAAATTATTATGATTTAAGTTCTTGGGGCTTTACTTCGCAAATAAGTACTGTTGTGTAATCATTTGGGATACATGTACAGAAAATTTTTGAAGTCAATGTTTTTATGAAAAACTTATATAGAAAGAACATGAAAATCTTATACTTGGGCTTGCATTCTCCTGAAAGAGGTCTGGGTGTGAAAGATCAAACTGTTACTGTTTCAGTGTTATAAGGGCTGACTGATACAGTGTCGAACTGGTGCTAATTATCATTGTGATATGTGTTGGAAAAAGTATTTATATGGTGATGAGTATTCACAGAAGCTTTAAAGATGAGTGGAATAATGTCTGAGTATTCCTGCAGTTCTTCCTGAGGGTTAAGAGGAGTAACAATTACTTCTAACATGCAAGGGTTTTTTGTCTGTTTTACTCCAGGACCAGTCTTCAGTTGCTGTGCGTACACAGACAAAAATACAGCTGTTCACAGTCGAATCATTTGGTCTTGTGATTGGACACCAGATAGCAAGTATTTTATTACTGGCAGTCGGGACAAAAAGGTAATTCATACAAAAGAAACTTTAAAAACCCAGATTTATTTTAGATGTATTTTTAGATTAGCAGATGCTGTGTTCTAATGAGCCCATGTTCTATAAATACAGACAAATCTTCGTGTGTGTATTACACAGAAATCAGTGAGACTTTCGTATGCTAAATAAAGTGCTTGTACAAGACTGTGGTCTGCCAGTTGGGCCTTCTCCCTTCTTTTGTCATGCAGTAAGACAAGCATATGTCGCGTAACTCTCATGGGTCTCTCAGCTGTTCTTTAACTTTCATAACAGAATCTGTTTTTGTTGTCAATATCTTTAATGAAATCAGACAGACTGTCTCAAAAGTTGAATCTTTGTAAATAGACTTTTTTTTATTAGTTTGGGGGTCATCCACTATTTTAACTAAGTTATTTCTTATTTTTTTTCTAAAATGCATTTACAAAAATACTGAAGTGAAAACTCCTAGGTGATTCTCTTTCTTACAGGTCATTATATGGGGCAATTGTGATTTATCTGTGAATACTGAAGGGAATATGTTGGATTCAATCAGGCCTTGTTCAGCAGTGCTGGATGCTGGGGATTCTGTTACTGCTGTTAGTATCAGCCATGTGCTTACTCCTGATGGAAGGTATTGGTTTTTTTCTGTAATGCTGTTTTGTGCTATTAGGATTTTTTTCTGCTTTAGTAATTTTTCTGTGGCTAAAGAGGCCTTAAAATCTACTGGTAAAAAATATTTTGACGGTTCTTTAACTGAATGACCTCTGCTTTTTTGATTTCACAGCTGTCTTTTCAGGTGTATGGTGATTTCTCCAAACAGTATAGCAAGAAAAAAGTCATGAACAGCACACCTGAAACATATTTATTCTCCCAACAGTGCTGATCTGATGTTCTAATAACCTCCTTTTTCCTAACCAACTATTTTGTATGTTTCTGCTTTGCAAATTTTTTAATGAAGAAGCTATGATCCAAATTATGAAAAGTAAATATTGATTTGAAGGGCAAGGTGAAACGCGGTTTTGAGTAGTAGTTCTTTCTAGCTTGCATTAGAGCCAGCTTCACTGAACTGCCTACTGTAACCTCTTTCAGAACTAATGCAGTTATTCTCTTGATAGATATATTATTGCAGTAGGCTTAGAGAATGGGAAGATAACGTTGTACACATGGAAGCAGAGTGGCCAAGAACCAGCACTAGCTGATTGGACCACATGTGTTGAGATGAATAACAGGTATGTCTTGAAGTAGGTTAGGAGCAAGGAAGTATTACTCTTGAGACTAGTAGTGCTGGAGTTCTTTTAGTATAAAATGATGTGAAACGGGTTTATTTTTATATCAAAAATCATTATCCTTTTAGGAGAAGGTTGATCCCTGAAAGTCTAAAGATGTCTTTAAGTCAAAACCTGGAAATAAAAAATACTGGTTATTCAGATTTATTAAAAAAAACAGAACAGAAAACCCCAGCAAACCCCAATGAAAACCAAGGGGGCAGCTTAAACCACAAAATACTTCAACCTGTGCAAATACTTTGAGAAGTCTTACCCTTTGTTTGCCCCACAAAAATAACTTTATTATCTTTAGCCATAAAGTAAGGTGGTAGAAAGTACTGAAGTGTCTGTGTATATCAGCAGAACATTTTGAAGTGGATGACAGCAAGCTTTCAAGAGCAGCTTCTAGCAGAAACCAAAGGAGTGACAAGCTGTATGTGGCGCTGCAGTGGTGACAGTTAGAGAAACTCTCTGTAAAGAGACCTTGATGTTTCACTTGAAGCACTCTCCTAGATTTTTCTTTCATATACTGGCATTGGTAGTACCAGAAATGAAGGTTGATGGTGACCTCAGCCTGCATGTGCTTGAAGTGCATTGGAAAAAGGCACCAGATAACAGGAAATCATAGGCTAAAAGTCAGAAATCTGTCATATCTCAGTAATTGAAATGCTAGACCTACAGCTTAATGTAGTAAAACTTGAAATCAATAGCTGTTTGAATTATTGATAAGCGAGAGAATAAAATGTCATTAGTGTTAATGGCCCTACTTATTTTAAGAACTTAATACCTGCTGGTTGTCACAAGTCAGTTTTTCCTCAGTTTGTAGTGTTAATAGAAAAGTACTAATTATATAAATGTCGATGTTTAGATTCACATGCCCAACTGTGTGTGACATTTTGTAGCTACCTATGGATTTCTTTTTGTTGCAGCCAAAGTCATGCTCTTGCTGTGAAACGTTTATGTTGGAGACATCATGCAGGCAGAGCTGGACATAATGATCAGAACAACAGTGAGTGGTTGCAGCTTGCAAGTTGTGGAGCTGATCACTGTGTTAAGATATTCAATGTCAACAGATTTGCTGTTTAGCAAAGGCAGCTGGCCTGTCTTTGCAGAATGGATTCACAACATTTTATTTCAGCTTTTAGCCATTTTGGTTGTTGAATTTTCTGCTTTCTGCTGTGGAAAGCAAAGCATCTGACATGTAACTTATTAAAGCAACTTTTGTGGTAGTTTGAAATGTCAAATTTTTTTTTTTTAATTCTGCAGTTCCAGAAATACGAAACATTTTATATGTTTTGGTTGGTGGATATCCTGGAACTGAGGGATGGGAGGTGCGGTAAGGTGTGGGAGAAGGATAATGAGACAGCTTTGTTCACTGTGACTCCAAGGGTAGGTGGGAAGCTGCCGATACTTGTATAGTTCTGTGCTTGGGGTTGCAAGTGGAATACTGAATTTTTTTGGAACTCTTTATTCCTATTAAACTTACCTGTCAGTCAGCCTGCCAGGGCTGCCACTGAGTGTTTAAGCATGTGCAGAGATCAGAGTTAATATACAGCTTTCTCTGATTGCCTTCTGAATGTATATTACAGCCCTGGTCCAAGTCTTAGACCTCCTTATTTTCAAAGTAGTTTGTGTTTGCATGCTTGGACAGGCCTGCTTGTTTGTTTTTATTCCTTTCTTTGGCTGTGCAGAGTGCTGGGCTCATGCCTCTTGGTCATATGGTCATATTAAAGCTTACTGCGCAGACCACTTGGATCTTCTGGTGTCTCCCTTTTGTACCTGTGAGCCCTCTCTCAGCACAGTGCTATAGAAGAACTACCTCTTACTCTGCTTGAAGGCTGTCCTCTATGGTTTGGGCTGGAAAAGCTTACAAGTATCACTAGGAAGGAGCTAAAAGGTGGCAGCCATTCCTTACACTGCCTTTGGACTCTAATTGACTTTTGAGTGCCTTATCTATTCTGGGTTCTTATCTATTCTGGTGTAAAACAGGTTAATTTAATTGTCTCGTAGTGTTGGAATGTAAATAGAATGGTAGTAGGTAGTGAGTACTTCAGAATTAAGCCTTTACTTCAGCAGGTCTGTACCTGATTCCAAAGTCTAATTTAGAAATCGGTTAAACTTTTGAATGAAGCAATTTTTTTTTTCCAGAACCACTTGCTACCCAAACTGGTAGCTGTCACAGTTTAATCCCAGCCCGCAACATGCAGCCACTCTCTTACCCTCCACCCATGGTGGGATGAGGAGGAGAATCGGAAAACAGGGTAAAACCTGTAGGTTGAGATAAGAACAGTTTAATAGTTGACATAATAATAATAATAAAATAATAGTAGTAGTAATTGTGATGAAAAGGGAGACAACAAAAAAGGAGAGAAATAAAACCTAAGATGTCGAAATGATGCACACCACCCACTAACTGATGCCCAGCCTATAGTGGTGATCAGTGGCTCCCAGCCAACCCAATTCCAGTTTATATACCGAGCATGACAATCTGTGGTATGGAATATCCCTTTGTCTAGTTCAGGTCACCTGTCCTACTTGTGCTCTTTCCAGCTTCTTATGCCCCTCCTCACTGACAGAGGCATGGGAAACTGAAATGCCCTTGATCAGGGTAAGCACTACTTAGCAACAACTGAAAACATAGGTTTGTAATCAACATTATTTTCAGACTAAATCTAAAACACAGCACTGTAACAGCTACTAGGAAGAAAATTAACTCTACCCCAGCCAAAACCAGGACAGTCATGCAAAAGTAATTTGAACTGTGTTTAACTCTTTACTGTTTTGCATCTTTAGATAAAGACTACAGTTCATTCAGAGCGGTACAGACTCTTTTCAGAGTAATTATATAGTTTATGTTGTAAAGGTTTTCATATTTTAGTTTTTTATTTTCAGTTCTGTTTTTCAGCATTAAAAAATCAATGGTTCAAAATTACTTAGGGGAATAAAACTGCAACTTCTTAATAAAGATGCTTTGGTACATTTTACTTGTGGTACCTGGTGCTTTCCTTACATGTGCGCTTTAAGCATTTGAGTAGTGTATTTTACTTGTCCAGAAGTTCCTAAACAACCATTGACTGTATTTTGGCTAAAAGAAGGACATTGCCTATCTCTCATGAGGTTTCACAAAGCTGCCAAAAGTGGAACTTTATGTCACAATTGTAATTTGGTATCTTACCTACAATTTAATACTTTCCAATATCTTGCCATGTGGCCACATTTATGTATAGGCAGAAGTGAAATGTCATATTAGCTGTCTCTTTCTCTTATTTTGTGAAATGCTGTTATTAAACAAGCATCATCTTTTATATGATTTGGTAATCCATTCCATTACCCCTGGGACTTTTATGACTCAATCACATTGAAGAATATACCTCGTTGTTCCAACTTTAAATACATCAGATCAGTCTGTTGATATCCTAAGTCTAAATGTTTGTGATAGACACTTTTTATTTTCAGTCAAGCTAGAGGTTGTCAAGAGACACCTTGACACAATATTTTTTTTATGTACAATGTTATCACTTTGCTCACATTTAGTGGGCGTGACTTTTGCATACGCCTTTATCTTCTCAGTATATCCACTAAAGTCTTTTCAAACCATCGTGTAAATCAGCATCAGGATAATGAGTCGGGTAACTGACTTCATTATCTCAACTAGTATCAGAAGATTATTTGGATCAATGTAAATGTGACACCAAGGAAAACTCAGTGTTATCATAGTGGTCCTTTAGGGGTAGCATTGACTGCCTTATGAAGAACAGAGCTCTTTAAACAGCAAAATAGAGTCCTGAGAAAATTTGTTTTCTCTTTTATTTGGTTTCTTTGTTTTAAAAAATAGAGAAAAGCAAGCATTTGCCAGGCATTTAGTATACTTACTGTATTCATTCTACTTCATTATTCTTGTTTTATTGGTTTGGTAAAAACTGCTGGAGTCAAGTGCTTTATTGCCAGATTTGTTTGGATTCCCCCCCCCCCCAAATGTCTTAATTAGGTTTTTATTTGAAGAATCTATTTTTGGGTTTGTCCACAGAAAGAGGCTATTGCTTTTATTTTTTTCCGTGTGTTTTTCTTTACTTGCTCAGAGAAACTGTATTTAATTCATTAAAAATAGTGTGTACATTCATGTATTATTTCATACCTTAAACAAAAATACTACCTGACTGACCTGACGGTATACTGCTTACATATAGCAGTTAGGCATCTTAGAATGTATCCATTTTTATTTCTACAGTTTCTGTGTTTTTTGTAGCCTCCCTTAAATGAAAATTCTGATTGCACTCAAATGTGTTTTGGAAGATGGAGTTAGCCTCTATACTTTGCAAGTTGCTCCTATCACCTTCTTCATAGGAGGTGGTTCAATGTCGTCACAATACATACAAAGTTGAGGTAAGTGTAGTTTTGTTTACTTCTGTTTCTCTTCAAGACTTATCAGATAAGCCCTGCCAACTCCAATCTTGGGGATCTCCAACTTTTCACAGCACAGCCTCTGATGTTGCATTTGTTTCCCCTTAACAATGTGATGCAAGGTGATGTCCGATAGTCAGGGATTAAACTTTGCTGTCCGGAATCATGATGGTTCCGGCCTTGCCACTACCCTTTCCAGCTGGTCCTAAGGTGAGATGTAAGGGTGGTATTCAAGGGATGAAAGCCCAGAGGCAAATGGTACACATCAAAAGGCACCCATCTATAGCAGCCTCATCTTCTGGATGAATTTTCTAGCCAGTAGCACATTACATATTTCTGAGTTTCTGTCTGCATTCCTGTTATCACTTTGGACAAGAGCAGTGTGTTTATTTTAACCCCTTGTGATCTAGCAGGACACAAAGATGATGCAGCATCCCCTGTAAACTGAGGCTATCCATAGTGCTGTTCACACTTTACTTTTCAGGCCTTTTTAACCAGCCTTTGCACTGAAATGCACAGAACTGGGTCTGTGCAGGTTTGGAGAGATAAGCTGCTTAGTGCCTCTGCAGCCCTCAAGTGCTACTTTCTGAAGCACCCTGGGCTGATGGACATGTCTCTTGCACCTTACTGCTAAATACTAGTGTAGATTTAATTAGATGTTGCCATAAGCACTGTTGCAGCTGAGGCCTTGTTTCCCACTTGGGTCCTTTGCAGATTGTGAGTTTTCATTATTTTTCCTGTGATTAGTTACTTTTCACAGCTTTTATGTGTAGATTTTTATGCCCAGCATGTGAGCTCCAGGTGCAGCTTCTTGTCTAGACACTGATGGAATTTTTTTTGTTCTTTTTCAAGTCTATAAAATCTGTGGATTTTTTCCTTTGAACACTCTGCCTTACAGACAGACCTGGGTGGAAATGATCCAGTTGATTAAAATAAGGCATAAGGGTGCGTGCCCTTGTGTGTAATCTGAGAGACAGGTTTGATGTACTCCTTAAGATCAGGGTGAAAAACCCAATTTACAAGTATGTAACTAAAGCTCTGACAAAATACCAACACACACCTCATATTTTGCCTTTATGCAGTTAATGCTTTAACTGATTTCTTTTAATGATGCTCTTTACCAATAGGTGTAAAGCTTTCATGATACCAAAGTAAAAACAACACAGAACATTCATCTTTAAAATCAGTTTATTGTTTTGTCGTTATAGTTGCTATTGGAAAGTATAATAGTGGTATGGGGGCTTATCCTCAATCTCAATTCCAGGAAGCAAATTACTTCCTACACTGCAGCTGGTGGATAAGTTTCCAATTTTTTTTATTTTTTTTTATATCTAAATTTTAAAATATGAGCTGTTGCATCTTTCTGCATCAACTGTATGAAGCCATAAATATATTTCAAGAGCCTGTAATCATCCCAGTCTGAATCTCAGTGGCATCTGCTTTCAAATACTACACACCATAGCGTTTATTTCCGCTCAGAGTTTCATTGTAAAGTTACATCACTGCTTTACATCCCCTTACCTGATTCAAAGGCGGTGCAAATAAGCTGATGCCATTAGGCCCACCACAGTGTCCCATTAAAGACTACCTGGAAAATGTGCCATTAAGAAGGAGAGCATCATGTTCTGCAGTGGGAAATCTCAATTCTAGCATCTTTAGATTTATATCAGTGCAAAGGTGTTTAAAGACTTCCTTAAGATTACAGATTAAAGGGCTAATATACAGGAAAGACAAAAGAAGAAAACATTGAACCTTTTTCCTTTGTTTTAGTGAACATGTAAGAGCCCTTTTTACTACTGAAAGTAAAGCTCTAGATTATTTAAAGATC